CGTATCTGACAATCATATTGAACATATAAATAACTTAAAAATCACATTGTCAGAAAGATAAATGATTGTTGAACTTATATTTTTTTAAATCGATTCATTGCTTTTTTACATTAAAAAAAGTGGTTTTAGTGATTTATGGTGTAGATCTAGCTTATATCACGTCCGCATGGCGGAGTAAACACGATAACTTTTGCAAATGTCAATTGTTCAATGCAATCTATTTTTTAATCTATCACTTGCGAAGCCACGGCTAGTAAATAGCTGTTTAATTTTATTTTGTGTAGTTATTTCTTTTTATTATCCACACCTTTCATGGTTTCTTCAAATTGTTGGTGGCTCCTTATGTAATAAAGTATTCGTTTGACAAAAATTTACTAAGGCCATCTCACTTGACAATTTTTTTAACTATGACTGAATTGGAACTGCTACGAGTTAATAATTCACACTGTTTATGTATTAGGTAGATAGAACCTTGCAATAATATCAGTATCTTAACTTTTAAATGTTTGTTTTTTCATAACTTGTACCTATTTGTTTACATTAATTTATTGTGATCAATGTATGGTACATGACGTTCTATATTTTTGATATCGTTGTAATGTACGTTATGAAGTATTTATGTTCTTGATTTGATTTGTTTGTGATCTAATTCTTTTTAAAATTTCTGCCACTTCTTTATAGAATGGGGGATGACAAACGAGCACACATTTCACCTGATGGTAAGTGAATGATGTGGCCCATTGACAACCACATGACAACCATTGAATACCAGCATCTTCGATTACGAATCAAAACACAGATGCGTTGTCACCACTAGGGACTAAGATGGAATGCCTCGTTTCCAGTAATAATTTCACCTACACTCGACATATAAAACACAGCAGCATTAAGCTGCTATTTTACGCTGGTACTCTCTGAGAGCGTGGTCCTTCCTTGGTCGAGCCGAAACGTTCATGCTACCATAATATGGCAGCAGCGTGAGCGTGGCTCTACCACGCCAAATATTTACTTTTCACTGGATTATACTTTGATTTTCTTTCATCCTACCAGACAGTGATTTGATCTGAATCTGAAGCTCGCTCAATTTTTGCTGAGTGGCCAAAGATGTGTGTGTGGTCTGACGTTATCATGATGAAAGATCACTGCTTTCTGTTGATCAATACCGGACGGCTTTTTTTAATTTCTTGCTTGAGTCTCATTAGTTGTTGGCAGTAGACAAAGCTCATAATAAATGATGCCCTTCCAATCCCACCATACACACAGCATCACCTTGTTGCGTGTTAATGCGGGATTCGCTACAACCTGTGGAGCATAACTACCCTTTGACCATGATCTTTTTCGCAGGTTCTAGTTGTAGGTGATCCACTTTCATTACCAGTGATCAATCTGTTTAAAATTGTTTGGTTTCATTAGTTATTCAATAGAGAATCACAAACCTAAATATCGAGTTTTTTGTATAGCCAGACTTTTTCAAATCAGTTAATACTGTTTTGTGTCAATCCTCAATTCCTCGGCTATGTCGTATCTACTAATATGCCGATCCTCCTCTTTTTCAATATATTGGCCAAGAGCGTGTCGGGCCACGCTCAGTGTAGGGTTCCGTAGTTTCCCGTCCGTCACAATAAGTGTTCCCACTTATGAGTTCAAAGGTGGGTATCCATTATGTTCGCGCTCCAGCAGCGCTCCGCGCTCCTGCAACTGCTCCCGGTAGTGGGTACTGTTGTTTCCATCCAAGTTCAAAATGATTTTCCTAGAAAGTCCTTATAAAGTTCTACTTTTCAGATTTTTTTCAAAAGTTAGAGGGGGGGACACATTGTTTTTTTCTTTTGGAGCGATTATTTCCAATTATTTTTTGAAATTATTGACATTATCAAAAAATGATTTTAGTAAACCCCTATTCATTTTTAAATACCTTTCCAACAATATATCACACGTTAGGGTTGAAATTAAAAAAAAATTACTTCCCACTTTACATATAGGGGGGCTACCCTAATAAAACATTTTTTTCCAATTTTTATTTTACCACTTTGTCGGCGTGATTGATACACATATTGGTACCAAATTTCAGCTTTCTAGTGCTAACGGTCACAGAGATTAAGCGAGGACGGACAGACGGACAGACAGACATGGCGAAACTATAAGGGTTCCTAGTTGACTACGGAACCCTAAAAATGGTATCGACTTTATGCGTATGAGAGCGACCAGAGCGAGTTGCATCCGGGAATTTTGATGTCAAATTTGCATTTTTCCTTTTTGGTATTTTTCCCTTTATGGTTTTAATAAAACTTCAGAATATTTAAAATTTATTAGTTAGATTCACTGATTTTGGTGGACAGAAAAAGAATAAAAAAATGGCGGGAAAGTGTTTATTACATTTTATTTTTCTTTTTCTACTTTGACTGGCCTATAATGTATTGATATTAAAACCAGCTAGATGCAAACAGTACAACCAAACAGATTTTTCTTTAATTTTATACAAACAAAATACGAAGAAATTTTTCCCCCGATCAATATTATAAGTTAGTTCCATTAGAAGTACTCATCACGATGCTCTTCAGATTTTAGTAACTTTTCTCAAACCTACTCTCCCTTCCTCTCAACATTCACTTCCTGGTTATGTGTTATTACGCAATGACCGATATAATACGCAAGGGTGGTGGAGGTGTTGCTATTTATTAACATGCTGTAATACATCTCCACAAACATATTAGAATACGTTATTATAATTGGAACTCTGCAGAACACCTATTTTTGGAAATTACTCTTATCACAAACCAATATTGATTGGAGTTCCTTACAGTCTTTACCTTCACGTTATTTTGACGTATTTGACAAACTACTTGGTAAGTTCAATGTTTTACATAATCTTGTTATTTTGACTGGAAATTTAAATACGTGCATATTCAGAAATGTGACGAAATGCAAAACGTCTTTTAATGACAACTAACTGTTTCTTTGTCATACCATGACTTTATCTAAATGTCTTACCGTGTTCGACCTCCTAAGCGTAAGTCTAACTTTCCACTACTTTGAAGTTACATGGGCATTCACTCAGAAGCCTAGCTGTCTTTAACAGGAAATCAGTTATCTGTCAATTTTCCCAAATTGAAAAATGTGCTTCCAAAAGTTGAAAATTCATAACTCATTACGGAAACATCTTGCAACGTTGATAACAACGTTCAATTATAAGTTGATTGGTAAGGTGTGGTAGATCTATTTGAAAGAAAAAAAGGCATTTTGGCTATAGCAAGCATGTAACTGGTTTTACCTGTTCATCTTAAAATTCTGTTTTTCTCGAGTTCAAAGGTCTTTTTTTGAATATTCTTTTACACTACACAATCTGTGAAACATTTTTATATAATTACCAAATATCAACTGTTATTTACTTACAAAATGAAGTAAGTTTCGTATAATAATCAAAAAAATAAAAACCTAACTGGTTTTACCTGAAAATGTTTAGAAAATATACACAAACTGTAACGAGATTGATTGAATTGAGATGAATGTTTAACCTGTTTTATTAACATGCATTTCAAAATCGCACAATATATTTAGTTCCCAAATCTGAAACTGAGTCTATATCTATCTAAACTTTCTATCCATGCATGTATCTCATCAGTAACGATTCCTTTTTGATAAAGCTTGACAAAATCTCTGTTTTTATCACAGTAATAGAAAGCAAAGAAGAATACAATTTAGACAATTCTTTTGAAAAATTGCGTTAATTAATAATTTTTGGTTTTTTCTAAGTAAACGTTGATGGACCCTTTCCTTCAAACGTGTAGCCTCCACATATCATCATTATTATCATAAAAATTAAAGACCAAGGAATGCCACAAAACACGATTATGACCCAACTGCATCCGTTGGCTTTCTGTATCTCTTACCTGGTCGTCACGCCATCTAGTGGGGGATAAACCGACACTTCGATTTGCGGTATTAGGCTGCCACTCCAAAACCCATTTTTCTTCTGTCAGTGGCTCCTATATGGTTGCAGCTATGTAGCCGGCCAATTACCACTTCGGCTTAACTCTTGACCTATCATCACAAAGTCTATCATCCAGAGAAACTCCGAGCATAGCCTTCATTATAGCAAGCTGATCGACCTTAAGCTTTCTCATACGGCCAGTAATGAAACACCAAATGTAAGATGTACCACGGATTTGCTCCGTGAGATGTACGTTGTGTCTAATATCACTGGCAACACGCACTGGTTGTACACTCTCCACGTTTCCAAGTTTTGAGGTTTACGGTATATCCCGAACGCTGCCCAGCCAAGTTGAATCTGTCGATTGACCTCCCGTTCAAGTTTGACTTACCTAGTCAGACAATTTGCCTAGGTTAACATACCTGATATCAACTTCAAGCGTAGTGCTCCCAGCAGATTATACGTGGTAGACCCATGCTGCATTTGTATTAATAGCATAGTTGTGCACGAATGGGTCGGCTCCACCGGAGACCCTTTACCAGCAAGTTAGCAAGGTTTTTCTATCTTTAAAACCACAGGGACCAAAGCATTTGCATTTTAATTATTAATCGGCGTAGCTTTAGGTCTGTCTATAGAATACAACATTCACTTACTACCAGTCAGGTCAGATGGTCAAAACAGCATTCATTTTAGCATATTCATTCGGTGCAGTGGAAACACTGTCCAATTGAAATGCTGACGACTGCGATGAGCGCTCATTACACATTGACAAATAAAAAGTGCGTGTTTTCTATCTGCAATCCATCTCCGCCATAACACAACACGCATATTATGTTCATACGCTGTGCTAATTAAATTACAAGAATAATTAATAAAAAAATCAAAAATAGTGTTATAGAGTAGGCTTTCTCAAACTTATAGCCCCACGTAACCCCTATTAAATTTCGCAGACAATGGCGAACCCCTAATAACAAAAAAAGGTTACTATGTCTGTAGTGTTATAGTATATATTTAAAATACAAACAGTTACCAAGGGTATATATTTAGCGCGATGGTGACAAAATAGCAAGTAATGTGCGCGCAACGCCTTCGCTCCGTAGACCTTGCACCATCTGAAGCTTTCATGTTGCAGCCGCAATTAAACTCTGTGGTGGTTAGTTGTTTGTGTTTTATAGCGTATAGGTAGGTATGCCGTCAAGTTGCACTATCATACGTTTGTAGAACGTAGAACGCGTGAGCCAGTCAGTCAAATGCCATAATGTAAACCTCTACGATCAAATGGCGACTGACTGTACACGTACCTTACTTTGAAAAACCTCGTTCTAGAAAAACAAAATTACACGTAATTTTTATGTATGGAGTGCATCCGTTTTTATGTATGTAAGCTGCCTTATCATACTTATGTCGACATTTGTGTTTTTTTCTGATTAAATTTAAAACCATTCAAATTTATAAAATGATTCAACGCGTTGTTATAAGTTTAAATAATAGAACCAGACGTTTAATTACTTTGCGGAGAAACGTGCTCTTCAAACTAGGTAAGACGCATCATTTTTATTTTTCATGGGGATCTTAGCTAATTAATTGTAACATGTATATTATAGATTCTACGAGTATAGTTAAAGATTTGTTATAGGTGTCCTGATTTTTAAACATGATGAAAAAAAAGTTGCAAACGATAACTCGAAACAAACTCATTGAGTTTAACTTGAGCAATGAGTATTTGTATGGCCTACAAATAAATGTTCCGGGTCTGGATGTTTGTCCTTGTGCAATTTATGTTTGTAAATTGCCTCCACGGTACAGGAGAAAATCCTAGTGTATTGGGGGTAACGTTAAAAAAACTCTATAACACTGCAGGGTGCAGGCAAACAGTCCTATCAAGTGCTTTCCCTTTTTTAACATGGGAGTATGCCTCGCGGTGGCAAGGACGGGTTATGTCGGACACGCACCAACTAAAACCCCATGGTGTTCCACCTTCGTCGCATATTGGCAGGGCCACGGGAACGCTTTCGCACACATCCGCGGCCCCACCAGCGCTGGCCGTCCCATGGCGACCCCTCCTCGTGAGAGGACCACACCTCCCCATCTCCTGCTCAGGTAAGGCTCACCATAACAGATAGCGTGCCCTCATTCGCAGCCTCCAACTTCACATGCGCAACAGACGCCCCCGTGTCCGATGCGCGACGAACATGGGGCCAGGAAAAATGAGCACACGGATGCACAAGCGGCGGCGGATCTAGTCTATGGAGCCGCCGCCAACCAAAATTCGGCTGCGGAGAGTAGTGAAACCGGCGCCTCGCAATACCGACACTCCTTTCCCCCCGCAGCTCTACCAACACCGCATCAATCAACGGCACATTGCCATACCAACGCTCCTCTTCCTCCGTGACTCTACCTCGTATGCAGCAGTAAGGGGAGAGGGCATCCCTCTCGCCGCAGTCCACCAACACACATCCGAAGTGGGCTCGCCAAGCCCACTCGGAGTGGCCTCTTGGGGCCGGCCCTACACCTCGCGCCAGCCGTGTGGGTTCCACTTAGTTCACCGCGGGTGACCAAACCGCGGCTATTAGTAGGGGGTTTAGATTTGTAGTAGCGGGGGGTTTAGACCCCCCGCTACAAGGCGGGAACCCGTTCGGCGGGGATCAAGTGCTTTCTCTATACAGTGTACTTAAAGCCTATGTTAACGCCGTGAAAAGAGATTTTTATATACATGACGCAATCATAGTTCTTGTTGCTGGTCAGTTTACAGGTACAACTGAATCTTGGATTCTCTTAGTATTCCTTACACTGTTTTACAGCAACAAAATAGCATCAAAATCTGATCTATTATTTAACTCAATTATTATGGTCGTTCTTTTAACGGTAGCTGAAGATCGCAAAACTTGTTTCTTGTGGAACCGGCCTGAGATAAAAAAATTGTTTTTAATCAACTAATTGGCACCAATTAGCTATATGCTTTCATGCAAATGTCGATGTTTTTTTTTTCTGATGTTTCAATGCGAGCTTCATAAGACTAAAGAGGCGTCTTTGGATTTTTTTTATAGAAGAGGGGGCCACCCATGAACAACTGTAACACCAGGAGAATTTCAGGTGCGTTGCGAGCCTTTTAGAAAGGAGTAAACTATTCTTGAAGGTCCCTAAGTCGTATCGATTCGGAAAAATCGCCGGTAAACGATTCCACAGAGGGATCGTACGAGGAAGAAAACTGTATAAGAAAAAGTTACAGTGGTGGACCGCCGAACATCCAGATGGTGTATACGGTATTGTGAGTCTTGATGCGATGTGCGTTCGTGAAATTTGGTGGCTGAAATTAATCCGAACAATTCCTCAGAGCACTTTCCGTGGTAGATGCGATAGAAAATACGAAAAGATGCAACATCTCTTTGCAGCACCAGTGTATGAAGCCGATCCGAGATGACTAGGTCGTCGACGATTCGAGCCGCTCTGCGCTGGATGCGGTCAAATGGAAGAAACTGGCACTGGAGAGCCCAGGCCCAAGGATGGGAACAGTACTCCATGTGAGGCCGAACCTGCGCCTTGTAAAGTTGCAGGTGGTGTGCCCGCATGAAATACTGTCTCGCTCTACTGATGATGTCTATTTGGTAGTCTCTTCCAGGTGACCACGAAACTGCACAACCTTCGATATGTCGACGCCCAGGATTCCGATACTAGCTGAGGCAACAACGGGAGTGCCTTGAAACTGAGAAGATAGGACAAAGATGTTCTTTTTAGCAGTAAACGCGCAAGCTTGTGTCTTCTGGAGATTGAATTGGGCTAGATTTAGCCGCCCCCACCCCGAGACTTCATTCAACAATGTTTCGACTTCAGACACAAGTTTATTCCGGTACTTGACGACGTTTTGCCGAGAAATATTGGCACGGCCCGTGTACCAAGCATCACCAGTGCTGTCGTCCGCATAGCAATGAATGTTACCGATTTGCAACATATCATCGATATGCAGAAGAAACAGCGTTGGTGATAGCAAAATGAATACACTTTTTCCTTTTAATCGTACGTTACGTTTTTAAAAACGTTCAGTTATTAGCTTAGTTAGGCATTACCGCTATGGAGGCCTATGGAGCCACCCACAGCCGCGCTGATGGTCGTCGCTGTCTACGCGTATGCGGAGGATGGATAGATCCAAACCATCAAAACTGCCGAGGCGTCAAAAACCGATGTCGTTCCTGACGTAGGACTAGACCTGAAGTAATAGACTTTTTCCTATACGTAAACCCCGGCCCGAGGCACAAAGGAGTATTGCAATTTGCCCCTGATGTTGCAAAAATCCACGGGTAGCGTGGCAGGGGCTTCTTAGTCTTTTTACTCAGTTTTCCCAGAGCAGTTTTTGTCTTGAATGGAATTTTGCCCCCCAGAATACGAGATGCAGCCTGAGCACCCACGCTTAGGAGTGGAGTAGCTTGGTCTTGGATGACGCTGGTATTGTGTGAGGTCGTGGCACCACCACGGTTTAAGCCGGCCCATACGTGCAACACCAAAGGCTTGCCGCGTGGCTTTGCCGGAAAAAATAGATGACATGCAGCAGCATTATAGGTATGGGACGCCTGGTACTGCGATCTGACGATCCTTCTACGAAGCGAGACAAATCCAGGAAAGAAAATAGCAGAGGCTCACGTCAAGCAATTGACTCATGAATAATAAAAAAAAGAAAACCTCTACAACAAACTAAAAAAAGGAGGCAATTTAGCAATTCGCTTACATGAATAGTGCCAGCGATAACTTATGGATCTGAAACGTGGTTCTTCACTGCTGGCCGTATGAGGAAGCAAAAGGTCGCTCAGCGAGCTATGAAGAGAGCTATGCTCGGGATTTCGCTGCGTAATAAACTTAGGAATGAAAATATCAGTTGAACCAGAGTAGCCGCCATAGCCCAACGGATTGATAAGCTGAAATGGCAATGGGCTGCGGCCATATAGCTCGAAGAACCGATAACCTATAACTAGGAAAAGTTTTCGAGTGACGGCCTCGTACCTGTAGGGGATGTGTTTGTCGGCTCCCCACTAGATGGAGTGATGACCTGATAAGACATGCAGGAAGTCGATGGATGCAGGTGGCTCAGGATCTTGCTTTCTGGCATTTCTTGGGGGAGGCATATGTTCAGTAGTGGACTCGTGAAGGGCTATAATGATGATAATTTCCTGACCGCTTTCGGACCTTGAATTCGAATCTTAGTCTTTTGCAATACGCGATCCGGTCTCTCCGACACATCGGGCCTTACTTCGCTTCGTTATGACATCGAACCGGACACAGGTGAACAAAAGATTTATAAGTGTACATATAACTGATACTATAATACTTAACCAACTCTTAAGCAAATCTCAGGTACTAAATGCGAAAAAGATTTGCACATCCCTAGAAGTTACAATCTAATAAAAAAAACATCAAGCGATTATTATAATTGAATAAGACATACGATCCATCCTAGAAATTCGATCGGAACGCTTTTTGCAACACCTCTTACTCAGGTATCTTTTCTCTGTTCTGTAACAGAAAAAAATTAAACGACCTTTGCATAATTTAATTTGTACGCGTATCAATACATTAACACAAAATATGACTTCATCACTGCGCATAAAAATGCCTATCTGCGGTTGTATTTAAAACAATTGATCGTCGGTCATCAATTTATCGCTTTTGAACGGCAATAAAAAACCCCAATTAAAAGATAGGTGTAAAAAGAAATTTTCTTATAATTTATACTTGTTATAGTCTCAAGGAGAAACTCTATCTTTATTGTTTATTATATTGAAACTTACTTGTTTCACTATATTTTTTATTTCTTCATTGTAAATAAACCGACCGATTTCGCGGTACGCCAGCATCAGGGTAAGATACGTTACAACAATATATTTATTCTTATTTTTGATTTTACTTTATTTTCTCCAAATGTTTCCCTGCAATATGTATTTTTTCCCTACCTATTTCGCCGCATTAATAGTTAATGTTCTTGCAATTTATTTAAGAATTTATTTTCAAATTTGAGATTAACATAGGTATTCCCCTACGTCATTCAATCGCGTACAGTTCCGGTAGGCATTGGACTTATTACTACCCCAATATACATAAATTGGTAATCACTTTTAACAAAATAGCTTTAAAACCGAAAACTATATCTACCGAACCGGTATAATTCATTTAAATTTTATCTTAAAAACCATTGATATCTGTAATAAAAGACGTTATGACATTATGTCAAGGACATAAAATAAAAATTGTTTTTTTGTTTCTTAACAGCACACTATACTATTTCTCCTCTCTTCCATTTTGGTATCTCTATGTAAAAAACATGTTATGCTTTGCTCAGGTGATTTCTGGAACTCGATGACAGCTCCACCTACCGGGTCCAACTGAGTTTTTAAACCATTAAGGGACCCACTCAAATACACACAAAAAAATTCATCGACTCGGTCGAGCCATTTTGGAGTTAGGCTAGGCTAGATTTCACCTACAAGACAATTGATTTTTATAAATAGAGATATATTTACCTACCCAGTTTCTGTTATTTGAATCCTCAAACAAAACGTAAGACAAACATCATAATACGTTATTTGAATTAGGGTGGTGCAAAATTATTACTATTTTTTAATATATCTCAAAAACTAATAGGTGCGCTAAGCGACGCGCGACGGGCCGCCTAAGCAAGATAAGCATCGGGTTACATCAGATCGCGCGGCGCGTGCCCCACTCCGCTATAAAAGAGACGGTGTGGAACCACGACGCTCATTCACAAATCTCAAATCAAATATTATAGATGTCAAGTCAATATTAGTTTGTGGCAATGTTCTACTCTCTCATGCATTATTCTATAAACCTGAATTCTTTAATTAATTACGAACAGTGGTGGCGTAGTGATAATTGGTGTGACAGTCATTCCCCGCGTTTCGAGCATCAGCAAAGATAACATAAGCTCCTCTAATCTAGTGCTCTGATTAAAGGGTAAATATTATTTGTTTTCATGAAATCGCTTTGATTAATGACCTTATAAATATACAGACGCATGTTGTTTATAAACATCGGTAGAGACTAACCCAATCTATTTCTCAAGTTTCTAGTTTCTCGAGATCTTTATATATTTTGTATTTATTGTTTAAGCGACCGCTATTGAGATAGTGACGACCGACCAATTGTCGGGTCAGTGAGTGTCAACAAATTATCATTTTCGACATTTTATACGTCAATAAGCGATAACGTACTATTTGCAAGTTCGTACTGATAAAAAAATTAATGCCTGTCAAACTACTGATAAACCACCGACAGATAATTTGGAGTCGAATATTCTGTTTTTTTTTTCTTCTATAGGATAAGGGTGACAAACGAGCACACAGCCCAGCTGATAGTAAGTGGATGCTGTGGCCCATAGACATTTCCATTTAACCTCGATTAAGAATCAAAATGCAGACGCGTTGTTACCCATGAGGACTAATATTAATAATGTTAGTTTAAACCCTCCCATTTTATTAGAATCTAACCTCTTATAATCGTCAAGGGTGAACATTATTGTCTCAATTGATCCCGTTCTATTTAACTAATAAGACTTTGATTATATATTCAGGGATTCAGGATTGATGCGAAAACCCTTACAATAGCATAATGATTTCTATTAATAATATCATATGTATATGTATATATTATGTTTTATCCTTGTATATATTTTTATAAGTATGTATGCATCTCAACCAGACAAGAAAGCAGTATAAATAATGTTTTTATATATATATATATATATATATATATATATATATATATATATATATATATATATATATAAGACGAAATCCTAATTACATACATGATATTTTTGCAGAAAATTATTAGTCAAGTTTCTCGACGCTCAAGTTAATCCAGTGTGCAATCGGACGTTTACGTTAAGTGACCTGCAAGAACTACTAAAAGCTACAATAATATACATCTGGAGCAAAAGGATTGGAAGGAATAGTTATAACAAAAGACTTATTATTAAGCAATATATAATGGCTACAGTACAAACACCTCCTGAGCTGAATCTACAATCGCCATTACAAGGCAATCAAAACTCTTCGGACTTGGACTTAGTGGCGTTAACAATGGCAGCTCTGCGCTTTGTAAACCCTTGGACCGTTGAAGCCAAAACAAATCAATGGCAGAATCGGATTGAACCTGGCACTGAGGAAGCTAAAGATCGTATCCTGTCCTTAGCAGAGGTCTCCCAACATGACACCCACCGTGATTGCTGGGTCGTTATATACGACCGCGTATACGACATTACTACGTTCTTTGATGAGGTGAGAAAAATTCATTTTCCTAATATTTTTCCTACTGACTTAAGTGTCATAAGGATTCCACTACCACATATCCAAGCCCCATAGATGTCGTAAGAGGCCTCCCCAAAGGAGGTCGGCGACAAAGGGGGGAAAAACAGGAGGCGGGCAACAGCATCTTTCTGATAACAACTCTTAAAACCTGCTACTCCTAACCCGCCTGCCTGCAAGCGTAGCAACTCCATCTATGAGGCGAGGGGGAGGGGGGGATTTAGCAGAAGACTCTCGATATAAACATCATTTCAGTAACAGTTTCACACATTACACTTTGAAGTTAATTAACCAATAGATAATATCTAGAAAGATTGCGACTTAAGAACAACATGTCATATTCACATCTCCGGAATCCGAACGTTACGGAAACGAAAATCAAATGAAATAATTTTTTCCAGTGTACATAAAATAGCTCTCTCATAAATATTTATACTTAATGCTAAAGCAGACTTAATTTTCCTTTATCCCGTCAGTCCTACATTGTGTGAAGATCCTGATCTGATCCTGAATTATGTCGCTACAATAGTTCTATTGAGGTTTAATAATATCTTTAATTTTAGCATCCCGGTGGCGCAGATATAATGCTGGAGTATGCAGGAAGAGACGCAAGTACCGCTTTCAGAAGTTCTGGTCATTCAAAGATGGCTGCAAAGGCTCTGGAACGATTCTTGGTTGGAGAGCTACCTATGCACGAGCGAATGTATCGTCGCCCGGGAGGAATACGCTTAAGCGATATACCTGAATAACATTTCTTAAGATTTTATTTATAAATGTAGAATAAATTGTATTATAAGAGAATATTTTTAGATTAAGTTGTTAATTATTGTTGGTTAGTAATTTAATTTATAATAGAGTTAATTTTCCAACTTATAAGTAAATTTTAGAATTATGTTTTAGAATCTATTTAATATATTATTATAAGGTTATAATACATTCCATTTAAGAACGTACTTAAAGTATTAATTCGTTATACTATTTTAACGGATGTATTTCTGCATTTATTTGAAGTTATGCATTTTTATATCATCTTTTCAGTATTATACTGATTTTTAGTTTTTAGTTTCTCCGTACTCGCGTGCGGTAAAAAGTTCCTAATAAAATTGTATGTGTTTAATAAACGATTGCTTATTATAAAGTCTGTATTTTAATTTGATACCATCCTAATATGCTTGGTGATATCAATATTTCTGTCACTCACATTACTCGGTTATCTCGTGAAAAGTTACGAGAATGTCAGATAACTAAGTTTCAATAAAACAAAGGATCGAAAGGTAAATATAAGCTGTTCACTATGATAAAAAATTCCAATGTTTTAATACAACAATAACAGTAAAAGTTTATAAAAGAAACAAAGCAAATATCTTTATAATAATAAGTTAATGTTCAATTTTCTGTAAGTTAAAGAAAGTCTAATCATTTAACCACTATCCAAAGTTTCCTGCCGTTGTGATCTCTTCGTAGGACAATCGCCTCTCCCGCAAGCTTCGACCATTTCGCACTTCGTTTCGTTTGTTACTTTGTATTTACAAATATAATATAGACCATGATAAAACTAAATCTTGAACATTTACACCTTTTTACCGGATCTGAAACAAATAAAAAAATTACACAGTCTTAGTCATGTTTTAAAATTCAATTCAATCAATAAATTGACAAAAACATCTAGAATGACCTCCAACAACCTTCACATCTCCTTCTAAAAAAATTTTAGTTTTTGACAACGGTTAGTGAGCGAGTTAGCAATATCAGGTGATATTGTCTTTTATTCATTCACTGTCGGCCGTATGAGAAGCTTAATCACTCAGCAAGCTATGACGGGGGCTATGCTCAGAGTTTTTTGCGTCATATAGCAAAACAAAACCAGTCATCGCAACTAACATAGCCCAACAGATAAGTAATCAAAAGTGGCGATGGCCCGGCCATATAGCTCAAAGAACTGACAACCGCTGTGAAAGAATTTATTTTTCGCATTTATTATCATCACATATTTCTTAGTAGTCCAGTCAAATTAGCGATCAACCTCGGAATGAGAGATAAAAAGCTGAATTTTCTTATATACCTTCATTTTGGTGTTCTAAAAGTTGTTTCAAAAGTCTCATAAAATCTCGTGTCTGCGTCATAAGTTATTCAAGGACAAAGGTAAAAAAACAAACAGTTTCTCGCGATTATCTCGTTTTCTATTGCTCTAATGATGTTAACATCTGTCACAAAAATTGTAGAGCAACCGTTTTGACGATACAGAGCGGTGAACATGCAGCGCCCACCTATACGTACTGTAATGCAAGTTCAACCGTGAATGCCTGTGAATAACTACCTTGATGCTAATACCTTACCAAAATGAATTCCTCGAACAAATGACAACAAAATTACTACCAGCCCCCGGTGAATTACTTAATATTCTTTTTTGTAACTGTAAGAATGGCACATCCATTGTAATTGTAATTATAAGAATTGACCATGGACCACATGGTGCAGATGTAGAAAATCAGGGTTGCAATGCACTTCAGCTTGTGGCCAGTGTAATGGGCAAGTATGCCTCAACGACGTTTCATTGCAAGGTGACTGTGAGGAAGTGAGTGCATTTGACCCTGAAATTCAGGGCAACGAAGATGATGAAAATGAAACAGAAATTCTCGAACGTCCATAAGATAACGATGAAGAAGATGAAAATTAATATTTTGGTTATTTAAATTATCAAATATTTATAGATTTTCACTGCAATTCAATTTAAATAGTAGAAAGTGTTCAGCTGCTGAATAAAGATAAAATTAAAATATATTAACCTGTTTCACTTCTATTCAAAATTTACTTTGAATAAATTAAAATAAAAGTTAAAGTTACAGCGTATATTATACGTCCCACTCCTGGACACAGGACTTCGCTCATTTCCGAGAGGGTTGCCCTAAAGGTAAGGAATTGTCTGCCGCGCTGCCCCAATGCGTGTTGGCGAACTTCACATGCCTTCAAAATATTTTTTCTTATTTCTCAGACATGCAGGTTTCCTCACGATGTTTTCGTTCACCGCCGAGCACGTGGTAAATCAGCACTTAAAATTGATTTCCTTCATTGGTTCCTCCGCTTCCTCACGATGTTTTCGTTCACCGCCGAGCACGTGGTAAATAAGCACTTAAAATTGCAGTTAACTACTTCATTGGTGCCGACGGAGATCGAACCCAGTTTGCCCGCGTACTGTGAAATTTACAGCGAGCACAAACCGTCTGCGCTACCACGCAAGTATAATATTGTGGCGGCGCTGTCGTCGCGCCACAAGCGAAACACATCAAAGCCTAAATCGCGCTCTCAAAATTATAGAATAGCTACGAACTACCACTTGGAGCGTTGGCCGCTCGCCGGGCAGAACACCTTGCCCGGCGGGAGATTTCCCCTTTTCTTTCCACCGCCACAGTAGCAAACCCGACGTGATTTTTTTTTATAGGATAGGGTGACAAACGAGCACACAGTCCACCTGTGGTAGTGGTTGCTGTGGCCCAAGACATCTACATCTTCTCGATCAAAATGCAGATGCGTTGTCACCCGTGAGGATAAGATGGAATGCTGTTTCCAGTAAAAAGGGTCTCCGGTTCTCTACACTCACCATACGAAACACAGCAGATTAAACTATTTCACGCTGGTATTTATGAGAGCGTGGTCCCCCGGTGAGCCGACCCATTGTGTACAACTATACATCTAATATAACTGCAGCATGGCTTACCACGTATAAATGTGACTGACACAACCTTCGGAAACTCCAACTTTAAGCTTCATTATCATCATAAAATACCCCCTCCATTCGATCCCGAGCAGATATCGTCTGCAGCCTTGACATCTTGCAAGCCATGTAGCTTTACAAGGTTCATCGCAGCACTGGAATAATAATACTTCCTGTTCTTTCAAGCTACTCTTTGCGCTACTGTATTCGACACGGCTCTGAGCCGTACTGTTCGCCTCTGCTTCACGGCACACTCGCAGATCACTTGCCTTCTTCTCGACTCACCGCAGACTATAAAGCAATCCGCTGGCACTTGCACATTCGTCGGAAATTAGACTGTACCATCGACCTCCAGTCTGAGCAGGGGGGTTATATGGCGGCGCTGTCGTCGCGCCACAAGCGAAACACATCGAAGCCTAAATCGTGCTGTCAAAGTTCCGAAGTAAAAACATAGAATAGCTCCGAACTACCATGTGGGGATTTTGCTGCTCTCCGGGCAAGAACACCTTGACCGGCCGGAGGATTTCCCCTTTTCCTTCCACCACCACAATATATTATCTAAAAACTTACACATTTTAAAAATAAAATACTTAATTATTTTTCCACTTAAAATCTACTTTTAATAAATTAAAATATACAATAAGTATTTCATTTAATGAGTTTCTAATTACACGAAGGAGGTAAGTATTATTAAATAAATATATTAAAAATATATAAAACGTTATTAAATGCAATGTATGAACTGATAAATAATACAAGTTATTCAAAATTCAAGGTAGTATTTTTGACAACTACTTTCATGAGAGACTCTTTTTAAGTCATATAGTTTAAGCTCAAGTCTATAAAATAATATATGTAATAATGCAGACATCGTTTTAGACGATAACCACAAACATCGTGTCAATACGTCGTTGCCACTTTATCGTCCGTGTCATAATTTAATAGACCGAAGTTTCCGATTAATACCGATTTAAGACCGTCTCGTAAGCGTTATTTCAATCCTTGCATTTGTTAAGCAAAAAGCATTGAAGCGAAATATCATATTTCTACCTTTGGCAAGGTCACTGCTTGAACAGTAATACACGATCACACAGTCCACCTGACGTTAAGTGGAAAATTACAATACTTCTCCACCCATGAAGAGATCTCGTCTCCACTAAAAAGGCTTTCCCGTTATCTTCACTCAACATACAGAAACACACAAGCATTATGCTACTATTTCACGTTGGTATATCCTTTGCAAGCGTGGTCCTTCCTCATTCGAGTTAACCCCTTCGTACTGCAGGAATAACACCCCGCACAGTAGAGCATGGATACCGGTTTTCGATAATATCGAAAAACCGGATTATCGGACCAAAAATCCGATATTGAAAAACCGATATTGGATTTCACTGATATCGGTTTTTCGATATTTTATATAAAAAAACCAGAGGCAATAGAATTTTTTTTACTTATTTCATTAATTTTAATTAATATAAAGCATGCCTAACGGGTAATAATAATTATGTATGTTCCAGTGACAAAATCAAATCCAATCAAATCACTTTTATTTGTTAACACAGGTACAGAAATACAGATCTTTTAATTGATAAAAACCGAGTGCTATGTTATGCCAGTAGCAGGCTTACAAATATGTCATTTTTAAATGATTATTTCCGAATAAAAGTGTGTATATGTCACCGTAAAATTGTCAAATACATTATATTGTAATATAACGTGTTTCACAATTTTACGGTGACATATACAAAACTTTGGTCGCCGGGGAGCGGCGGGGCGCGGGTGGCTCGGGGGTCGGGTAGCTCGCTCCACCTCGCTCGACCAATCACAGCGCCCTGTTCGACCAGATAGTTGCGCTCGACGCTCGGTGTCACTCATTCAGCGTAGTTCATATTTTTATGTTAAAAAGCACGCACGTGTGCATTGCCAAAGTTGTGTTGTTTTTGTGTCGTCGTTGTTTTACTTCATTCATTCGTCGGACAAACAAAGTGGGTAAGTGTACATACAAATACGACGAGCATTACATTTATGATTTTTATTACATTTTAACGGGCTAATTTGTTTAAATTTTATTGTTTCTTTTATTATTACTTTTGATTTGAACCGTTAGATTATCTCAAAGATAAATTTATATGTAATAATATATTTTTCATTCCTCTTTCTCGAAAAGACCGTCATAATAGCGTACCAGAGCGGGCGTAAAATTGCATATTATGCCCTTGGGAAAAAAAGGAATTTAACTCGGTTCCTATTTACTACCTCGCTAAAGCTCGGTAGTAAAACTACCTCGTCTATAATGGGTCATTTTAGCCCCTTGTATTACAATGTACTATTATAGGCTTCAATTTTAAAATGAGTTCGCAAATGTACAAAATCTGAACTTTAGTTGGTCAAAGTTATTTAGCCAAAATTGTTTTGTTACAGGCTTTCAGCTTCCTTGAACAAACAAATTTAGTTGTAAAAATATGAAGTATGAAAAATTCGAAAAAAAGTGTGATGATAAAACCTCAGTTTGGCACTACTTTCTCCGAGCAGAAGATGGTCAGTCAGGCAAATACAATTTATGCCAAAAAATAATATGATCTCACGGCGGCACAACAGCTGGTGTTCGCGTTCATTTAAAATCGTCGCATACAATAGATGTTAGTAACGTTAATTCAAAGTCTTACAATGAAGAAACTAATGACAGTAGCATAAACCGACCATCTACAACTGCTTCTCCAACCATTACGACCGCTGTGTCAAAATCAAAAGGCGAATCTTGTTCAGCGTCCTCATCGATGGTAAAAAAAGGAAATTGATTATTTTCAAAGTCATCACTCCCTTGAAACAACCTTCAGTAGAATGGCAGCTTTGGACGGAATACCATTCAGTGTATTTTGTACTTCTGAGGATCTGCGAAAACTGTTTACAAATGCTGGCTACAATAAATTACCGAAGACTCCAAAAGGTATAAAAAATATAGTCATAAACTATAGTAAACAGGAAAAGAAAAAACTGGTGACTGAACTAAAAATCTGTGGCCGTGGTAGGAAAAGGGGGATCTCCCGCCGGGTAAGGTGTTCTGCCCGGGGAGCGGCCAATGCGCCATGTGATAGTTCGGATATGTTCTATATATGCTGTTTATGATTCGGAATGTTGATAGCGTGATTTAGGCTTCGGTGTGTTTTCGCTTGCGGCGCGACGACAGCGCCGCCACATCACCCCCTGCTCAGACCGGAGGTCGATAGTGCAGTCCGATTGCCGGTGTGTCCTTTTAATGCCGGTGGGGAATGCATGCTGTGTGCGTAAGGGCAAGTGACACCGGTGCGAATGATATGCCGATGTGTAATGCATGCCGTACTACGCACTGGCAAGTGATGCCGGTGAGAACGATGTGCCGGAGCAAGTGCCAGAAGTCTGCCTTATAAATCTGCGGTGAGTCGAGATGAAGACAAGTTGGACTGGCTTGCAGGAACTGAAGACTGCAGAAGACGATTCTCAGTAGTGAATGGTAGGGGTTCTTGAGGATAATGACGAAGGCTTGAAAATTGTAGTTTCCGAAGGTTGTTGGTTGCGTATTCAGATCACGTCGGGGTCACCACTGTGGCCGAAGTAGGAAAATGGGAGATCTCCCGCCGGGCAAGGTGTTACGCCCGGGGAGCGGCCAACGCTCCGTGCGATAGTTCGGAGATGTTCTATATATGCTGTTTATGATTCGGAATGTTGATAGCGTGATTTAGGCTTCGGTGTGTTTTCGCTTGCGGCGCGACGACAGCGCCGCCACAAATCTATTAGCCCTTGGTAAAAAAGTTTTCTTTGAGTTTTGATGAGTGGAAATCATCTCGTAACGCCAGATATATGAATATCAACGTTCACATAGAAGTTGAGTTCACAGATGGCTCACGTTTCAAAAATCTGGGTTTGGTGCGAATGGATGGTTCAATGCCATCTGAGACGTGTATCAGACTTTTGAAAGAAAAGCTTTCAGAATTTGAGCTTTCTTTAGATAGAGATATAGTCGCAATAGTCACTGATGGCGCCAGCGTCATGTTAAAAGTTGGAAGAAACCTGCGCGCTTATCATCAAGTCTGCCTTGCACACGGTATTCAGCTAGCTGTACTTGACGTATTATACAAGCAAGGCGGCGCGGAAAATGTGCGATCCCCTGATACTGCTGTTACTGCTGGTGGAAGTGAAAGTGACTCCGAATTCGAGAACGACGCAGATAGTGCTGAAGACGAAACCGAGGGATTTGAAGTACTACCGGTGGTGTCAAACCCAAACGAGCATAATAATGACTATAAAAGTGTCATCAGTAAAGTACGTGTAGTAGTCAAAATTTTCAAAAATTCTCCAGTGAAGAATGACATGTTTCTACAGAAACATGTAAAACAGGATACGGGAAAAGAACTCCAGCTACTAGTCGATTGTAAGACTCGTTGTCGAAGCATCTCTACTATGGTGGATAGATTCAATAGGTTAAGATCATGTGTATCCAAAGCACTGATTGACATGAACTCTGATATCAATTTCACACAGAGCGAGTTTCATACTTTGGACAATTTCCAGAAAAGTCTGAATATTATCAAAGTGACAGTCGAAGCACTGTGCCGGCGTGATGCAACTCTATTAACTGCTGATGCGGCTATGAAATTTACGCTACGTAAATTAGATAGTCAAAATTCTACACTGTCAAGACTTCTCGTAAGATCATTGCGCGTGCGCATTTCTCAAAGACGACTTTCTATTGCATCTACTTTGCAGTATCTCCAAAATCCTGAAACATATTTCAGTGAAGTTGCTACCGCCGAGTTCCCAAAAACGCCAGAAATGGTGGAGGAAATTTATTCACTAACTCAAAATTTTGAAGATGAACCTGTGATTAGGGTTATGGATGATTTGGCCTTGGATAATAGCGCCAGCAGCGTGAGTGGAGATTTCGAAAGCGTTGATTTTGCTAAAGAACTAAATAAAGAAATTGAAAAATCATTGAAGGAGCAAAATACAAATATGCGAAATAGAAATGAAAGGGAAGCTAACAGAGATGGTGGTTATGGTGAAAATGATAAGCATAAGTTAATTCAAATTGAAATGGCATTGTTTGACAATGGTGGCAACCGCGGGTTCTATTTATACATGGCGTACAGACATTTACTGACGATTCCCCCCACGAGTGTAGAGTCTGAAAGAGCGTTCTCGTCTGCGGCATATACGTGCAACAAAATAAGATCGTCTCTCAAAAACAATACCTTGGATGCCCTCTGCTACTTACGTTCCATATTTCAGCAATCGCGATCTCGTGAATTGCCGTAGGCTTCGTTTTTGAAGCCATACGTTGTAAGATGACTATATAGTCACCCCACCAATTTAATATCAGTTATTTGCGTATGTAATATTTATTTTTATGTTACTCAATTACTTATTTTACTTGTGTTTTAATTTATTATTTTTGCTGCAGAGTATGTTAAGAAATTGTTTATTTTTGTGTTTCATACTTTTTAATTCTAATTATTATTAAGATTGCTTATCTTTTATTTAATGGTACAACGTTTAATTTAAACAAATTTGATCTCCTTTTTTTAGCCATAATATCGTAAAAATATCGAAATACCGGAATATCGGTATTAAAAAATTTTATATCGAAACAAAACCGGTATTGGAAAAAAGTTCCGATAGTCCATGTTAGACCGCACAGTGACTCCATCACGTAAAAGATTTCATAAATAACGTATTAAATATTATATTTACGTACGCATCTTACGGCACCCACGGAACGACATGAGCTAGTGGATATTATAACACCGCAACTACATGGTCGTTAGAGGCGACAGAGGAAAACTGAACCAGGATATGGCCAGCAGTATCATCTTGGTAACAGCTTAAAAAAAATAAAAAAAACTGCGCTTGCCGACCCGCGTGCCTAGCGTCTCCACTATGGCAAATATCCCCATATCATTGAGACTTACGCACACATTCAAATATGTTGGTTGGTTAATTTAGACTGGTTCACTAGATTTATTTAAATTTTACACGAATTTAAAATCATCCTTGCGTTACGTACTACAAAAAATAATTCAAAATTATACATAGTGGCACGCTAGGAACATAACCAGTCATTTAACCATTAAACTGCAATTAATACAATTCAAAATGAAAAAAAAATATTGACCGGTTAGAAAAAGCCTTGAATCGAATTCAATTAAGCGAATTAAGAACGCTGTCTTAATAAATGACAAGTTGACTCAGAATGACTCGGATAATGATTTTCATCGACAAGTTTAGATTTTTTGTCACATTGAATTAATTATTTAAGAAAAAATGGTATATCAAATTATATGTTCTAGTTTCAATGTAATACACCATTACCGTTACCGACTATGAGTTCACATGTGAACATAGGCCTCGCCTGCTTCTATAATAGCCCAATCCATTTTCATTGGGTTAGACCGGTGAAATACCTGGGGGTAGCATTAAATAATGCGATAAGCTTCACTCATCACATTAAAGTACATCCTTGCTTATGAGTATATTTCGATGAAGTTATAAAGGCCGCAGGACCAACAAAATACACTTTCAGAAGAAAATTGGCCTCACCCACAGATTGCATCATAAAGGTGATATTTGCTATAGCTGCTTTAAATGTTGTAATTTTATTCAGTTCTCAGCAAAAACTTCCTCAGATAATGCCTCTTCAAATTAGGTATTATATCCACACAATTATATTTTTCTCACGGATCTTAACTTAATCATTTTCACATCTTTACTATAATGAATTTCTTTAAAATAACTATTTGTTACAGGTGTACACATGATAAATTTATTTCAAGGATATGAATTTTTTAAGTTAGGTTTCACTATTATATAAGTCATATAATCGACAAAGAAAATACTTACAATAATTTGAAGTTAGACCTGGTCGGACCCGAAATGGAATATCTTAAGTAGATAATAAGAACCAGCAACATAAATATCGCCGTGACTTGCATCGTCCACTCCCGAGGCATCCCGCATTTTGTCACTTTCACTTCATCAGGGCTCACCGTTAACTGAACAAAAATACATATTTTTCACGGAGTGAAAAGAAAAAAAAACGAGCTAAAAATAATAAAAGGATAGCAAAAAGATGCCATTGCTGGTGTGCAAATTGGCAAACTTCTTCGTTTTTAATTTCTTTTTTTACGATTTTTTATTTCGCCACCGAGCACATGAAAAATATACCACTTTAAAAACAGATTTTTTTATTTACAAACCTATAGTATGTGCCAAATCGATTGAGAAAAACGAACAATGACTTCAGATATGAGCCGAGTGTCAAAAGGCGTAACTTACAAAATCTTAATTTAGATGTGATAACAATATTTAAATATTGATATTATTCACACTTCTAGGTCAGTGTTTATTTTTTATTTCTTAAATTATATTGTCTGTGGTTCCTATAAACATCGTAAATTCTTACGGTACATCGCGAAAAATTTGTTATATTTTATATTTCAATTTATGGTAAGTAACGCAGCAATTTATTTAATAACAGGTTCATATTAAAAATATATTTGAAGCAATATAATCACCATATTGAGCTTTTGCAAATTCATCCCTTTAAAATAAACAAAACGCGCGTTACGTCAGTTCGTTCTAAAAGAAACGTGACAATGGCAGCCAGAGATGCGTCAACTTTTTTTTTGCCGGTCCGCATGCACCGAATAAAAATAAAGTTCTTAGGTATATAATATTGAAAATAAAGTTTTATCTTTTGAATACGTACGTACTTATTCGGTGTCATTATCTCTTTACTCGAATCTTTATATGTGTTAGAAATTAATGCTTTTTGTTGTTAAATGAATAAAGTACTTTATAACAATAGATGATTTTTTTTTCTACAGTAACCTTTTACATAACTTTTTAATAATAGTTTGTAAGTATATAATATATCAATTATTATAAAAAATAATTAAAAAATCATTAAAAATAAAGAAAGTACTACAAATAAAATGTGCCTATATCTTGAAGGTTTTTCTCAATCGATTCGGCACATACTATAGCAGAGTTTTACGCTTAAGCAACCGTAATTCTAATTTTAGTTTCAATTTGTAAATACAGTTAAAAATTTTAAATTCGAAAATAATAGGTATATTATAGGTTACCAATATTATTTTGGGAATTAATTAGTGGCAAATGCCATATTATGTAGATAGAATAAATGAGTAAATAAAATATAACGCGGCATATATCGCGGTTCATATTTATAAACTATCAACCGAATACTAGTTTTTTTTTTATTATAAAACAAGGATCCGCCCAGGCGTTTTGAGTTTTTGATAAAAAAAACCTACTATACTATACCACATCCGTATGTCGTGATACAATCGGTCGATGTACAACCCAAGCGCTCTCCGTTATCAACACGTGTCACAAACATGTGGTATTCTTTATATATTCGTTAAATGCAACGTCAGTAAAGTATTTATTTCATAAAATGTTTACGAAAAGTATTTTTCGTAAACATTTTATTAAACGTTTCGTAAAAGTTTTTTAGTTTATAGATTAAGGGTGACAAAAGCACTCAGTCCACCTGATGGTACGTCAAGAAAAGAGCTTACTCCTTTGTAAAGGGCCGGCAACGCACCTGCTATTCTCCTGGTGTTGCGGTTGGTCATGGACTGCGGTAGTCACTTAACATCAGGTGAACCGTATGCTCGTGTACACCCTCTTCTGTAAAAAAAGTAGATGCTGTGGCCAATAGACATCTACATCTATCCTCGACTAAGAATCAAAATGTAGTTGCTTTGTCACCCCTAAGGACTAACAGGTAATGCCTCGTTTCCAGTAAAAAGGGTCTTCGGTTCTCACCATACGAAACACAGCAGCATTAGGCTCCTATTTTACGCTGATATGCTGTAAGATCGTAGTCCTTCCCCAGTCAAGTCGACCCGTTCGTGCTATAACGATAATATAGCTGCAGCATATCTGTACCGCGTATAAAAAGTATGTAGTACAAAAAGGCACAAATAATGTTTAAGAAAAAACCAACACAATAGAATTTAATAGTTTAACATCTTAACAACAAGAATTATAATAAAGAGCTCACAATTAACAATGTGTTAACCGTAACTCAATGACATAAATAGATAAAAAGCAGCTTTATAAAAGATTAATTTAAAAAAGGTACAAATTATTTCCTATAATGCATATTTCAGTTATTCCGAGCTCAACAAAACTTTTTCTCGAAGTATCTGAGACAGTTTAGGTGTGCTGACAAAACTCGTTTAATACCAAGTACGTACCAGATAATATTTCGGGTCCAATCTGTTCCGCCAGGAAAACGATGGAACTGTGTACTCTATGAACTCGATCTTGTGATCACTTGTGGGCACAAAACTATGCCTCACGACACAGCTGTGGTGCGTGTGCGCACCGAAAGCCGCACGTGGGTGCAAGCTCTCAACCAGGTATTCAGTTGACTCCTTGGAAAGGCAGTCCCATCGCTCCTCGAATAAATTGTTCCTCTCCGGCAAGGGAGCAGCATCGGGTTCCGTACACACACTATCCGACTCTCTGTATAATGGATAATGCTGAAATGGCGTCTTATTATATACGACATATTAAAATATTAGATATATTTCACATCAGGTATATTTTATAAATGGTAGAGCCATGCTGCAGTTATATTAGTAGTATAGTTGCATCACGAATGGGTCGACTCGACAGGGGAAGGACCACGCTCTCACAGAATAATAGTAGTTTATTGTTGCTATGTTTCATATAGTGAGTGTAGAGAACCGGAGACCCTTTTACTGGAAACGAGAAATTCTATCTTAGTCCTCACGGGTGACAACGCATCTGCATTTTGATTCGTAATCGCAGATAGATGTAGATGTCTATAGGCCGCAGTAACCACTTACCATCAGGTGGACTGTGTGCTCGTTTTTCACCCTATCTTATAAAAAAAATAAAAATGAAAATATTGGGTGCGTTTGGCAGAAAAAAGCGCTAGCAAGCGCTTACAAGCGCTGAAATAGTTTTCGGCCAGGACACGATTGCTACTTCAGTAGCGCTGACACAATCCGCCATTTTGCTTATTTAATTTGTTTGTTTTGAAGTTGAACCTCGTGTCCTAGAGGAAAATAGCTACTTACGATTTGACAGCGCTTACTGCTTACGATCGCCATTTTGCTTACAAGCGCTTGCTAGCGCTTTTTACTGCCAAACGCACCCAATATTTAAGATAGGGTGACAAACGAACATTTTGATATAGGATTTTGACATAGTATCCGCAGTAACCGCAGAGTTTTATAATTTTGAGTTGTTATCCGGAGGCTGCCGATTCCCAACTCTTGTTCCAGTTTCCCTCTGTCGTCTCTTACTACACCAGCACGACGTTAAGTAGTAGTGAATATTCTTACACAGCCACTACGCAGTTTATCATAGAATAGTTAATACACAATAGAATAGCTGTCAACCTTAATTTGTACGACGATAGGCGTCGCCGGGTCGCCGCGCACATACAAGCAATAATGTTGTATTATCACTACTACAAACCCGATTCGCTGTGTTGACAGACAGATTTTAATACGTATTTATTTGTAAATAGCGTGCAAAGTGGCATTTTCTAAATAATTTGCAAGGGAAATTTGGAAACGATTGTAACGTCAAAACACATCTCGTGTTGACATTTATACGTGAGAATTGACGTGTTAGTGACATTTTAGTAGCTACACGGGCTCCGCCCACTCCCCCGTTCTACTATGTATGTATTATAGTATTCTATGCAGTTTATTACGGGTTACTGCTGTTGGGTAGTTCTTCAAAACTTGCAAAAATATTGTGCCAACTTTAACATGCGGAATCGTTTGGCCATGTATATTCAAATTATTTTTGTTCATTAGCACATAAAATAAACTACGTGGCGCATTAAAAAAATAGGAAAATACCCATATTATGCTATAAAATTTTAAATATATATCCAATAAATTCACTACCAGTGCTGAGTTCCAACAGTAATGTTTTAGAAAAATATTTCATAACAAAAATCTTGTCTAGAGAACAATGATTTTACTTACTTACTACTTGATATTATTTTAATACTCGTCATTACCTAAACATTATATTTACTATCGAAAAAAAAAATTTGAACTTTTTAACAGTAAAAAAGTAATTACCGTGACAGAAACTATAGAGGAAAGTAACTAAATGTGGGCTAGTGCTTTAATATGGGCTAATAAAAATTCTCGAAAACAAATAATTAAAAGGCCCTGCAAACGAATATCTCCTATTGCATTCATTAGCCCCAACACCGCAACCACTCTATCTCGTGAGTTCTGCGAGAGGTGATGATAAGGTAAGACGTTGCTGCTTCACCGCTCATAAAAAAATTCGTAAGATTAGTAAAAACATGTTATTTTGTCAATGATAATCAGGACTAAATAATGTAACTATATCTTTTATTTGTAAAATATAAGTTTAATTTTATGTCTATCGGTAGATTAATTGTTATTAATGTATGTGAAGTACAAGTTCAACATTATATCATTCAAGAATTTTGAATATGGGCTATGACTATGATCCTAAATATGGGCTGGCCCATATTTAGGTACTAGTACTTGGGTAGTTAGAAATTAGTCTCTAAAGGTAATTTTTTTTCTTTCTAAATGACACCGACGCAATCAAAATAACCAAGTAAAAATTGGGATGAAGAACAAATGGTTAAACTAATAAAAATGGTTCGCGGGAAGACAACAAAATCATTATCCAATAATGAAAAACACCGAATAACTATCCTAGATTGCCCCTTTCACCTAAATCTTTGACTGCAATTCTTAATGAAGATAGTTTGATGTTCACCGAAGCATCATTCTCAAGGTTCTAGATCTGAAATAGAAAATAAATCTCAATTTGAAACTTCAACCTTAACATCCGGATGTGACACTCAAACAGAAGCATTTACTTCTAGAACTCACATGAATCTATAAATAATGGTGAAACATCATCTTCCAGAATTGATCGTAGTAGTCTAGGCCTAGTATCTCCTTATGACATAAGTCCTGTACCAAAAAAAATAGAAAGATGTCTAATAGGGGTAGAAAAGCTGCTGTGGCTTCTGTTATAATTTGTCACCCCATAAAAGAGACCTTGTTTAAAAAAAATAGAAGAATATTGAAAAAGAAAGGAAAACTAAAGATAAGAAAGTAAACGTAGAGAAAACAAAACCGTAGAAATAAGAAAAAAAAACAAGACAAAAAAAAGAACTAGTGACGATGAAGTGATTGACGGTGAAGGTGTAGAGGTTTTCCAGTTTGATTCAGACCCTGAACCAGATATTTATAATCGGCAAAGAAGCTCCTGATTCTGTAGATGCTTAATGTATGTTCTGCCAGCAACTTCTTTCAGAAAATTCAGAAGACTCTCGATTAAATTCTTGATGTGTGGGCTCTGGGCACATAATGACTGTGCTGGGCCAGAATTTGATACTTGGATATGAGATATTTGGATGTAAAATAATTCATTTCTTACTCTTACCAAAGTTAATAATTGATGTAGATAACATTTTTGGGTATAATTTTCTTAAAAGATAATAAAGTTGTTATAGCCCATAATTGAGTACCTGTTCCATATTTAGTGCCAATTTTGCAATTTTGTTTAATGCTCAATTTTGATACTATAGTTTAGTAATAAAAACACAAGACTGTTATTTTGCTCTTTAAAAATATATGTCTGAATATTATAACATTAATATTAAGTTAATTTTTAAATGGTTTTTAATTTTTGACCTCAAAACAAAATGGTAGCCCATATTTAGTTTTTATTTTTCAACATACATCGTTTTATAATCTCATTTCACTATTGAGAAATGGGCACCATATTTATTTGATCTGAAACTACCAATTCTGATGCACGTGCTGTTGTATCCTTATTAAACAGAAACAAACAGAAACAGAAACTTTTTTATTCAATGTAGATTATAACAATACTTATTGAAAGTCACTTTTTTCATTTACCACTGGTTCGCACAAAAAAACCTCTGTCCTGGGAAGAACCAGCAAGAAACCCAGAGAATTATTAAATTATTTAAGAAATAGCAAACAGTGTTGAATTTTAGTACTTTTGCCGAAATACAGTTCCTCACCGATCCGCTAATTATTGAAGTAAGTATAATGTTTCATCTTACATTATAATAGTGTCATAATATATGTCATTTTATATATATTATTTATGTTCGTGATTCAAATTGTTTGATATTTATCATATAAATTTTAAAAAATCTTAACAAATTTTAATACCGTAACTTTCACTACCGTAGATAACTGCAAATTTTCATGGTCCCGGTGCTAAACGATTTTAGGCGGTAATGAAGATTTATTTTATTTTTATAAATATTAGCACATTAAATTTGAAATATCAACTAAATAATAGATAAGTTTACATAGATTTGAAACGGGGCTACAATATTTTAGCGAGAATTTAACAAGTTTGTTCAATGTTTTATAATTAAATGTTTATTTTATTCAATACTCAAAATAATAGCATGGCAAATAAAAAAATAAACAGGACTAGATAAGCAACGACTAGCAAAAGGATAGAGATACGCAGTCTTAAAAGAGAATGAAGAACTATACGCAATATAAAAAGAAAAAGAAAGATTGAGATATTTACGAAAGAAATAATCTTAAAAAAAATGTAAGCATAAAATAGATGACTCCCCGTGTTCAACGAGAGCAGCGAAAGAGATGGCGAGAAAATAAACGCAAGCATTCGAACAGAAAACAAGAAGAAAAACAACTTCAAAGAGTTATATTACAAAATGATATTAGTAGTAAAAAAATAACCCGCTGCAAAAGAAGAAGCTGGCCCAGCTGACCCTATTTCTCTAAATTCAGATTTAATCGAAGATGTAAGTAACAGTCAAATTATATCAGAGTAAAGTAGACAGAAGGATCTAGCAATATTTAAATTTAAACTAAAAATCAGGCATTTACAATACGCTCGTATAAAACAATAGAAAATTGAGAAAATATTTATAGTAAAATAGGATAAAATAAACCAAGAAAATAAAAGATTAAAACAATATAGCAATTGTTAAAGTAAATAAAAACTAGAGAAAATTTTGTAAACATAAAATATAGAAAGTTTATAGTGAAAGTTGAAAAGAAAATAATAATTTTTGTCCGTAATTTTTACAATGAAGACAGAAATAGTAAATTAGCAGCTGACATTAAAAAATATATAACAAAAAATAAAATAAAAAAACAAAAGAGATACCTAACTGACACACTAAGAAATTGATAATAAATTGTTTCAGACATGGCGTATTCAGATGGAAAACAGCAATGTAAAAATATCTTATTCTTTTTTGTAAATGTCAACAATTTTAGGTAGTTTTTCTAAAATATGGTGAAAATATTAAAAGTTCGTAATATTAACGAGTTACTGTAAAGTTTATGTTGCATGTAGACAATGCGACAACTGCAAAAATAATAAACTAAGTTACAATAAATTCAATGATGATGTCAAAATACTGTTTAGTGAATGGAAAAAGACTACTGATATTGATCATAAAAGTGATCATTTTCAGACTTGGATGACAATGTCACTGTAGTGCACGTAGATTTCAGCGAAAATGACTCATTAAAATTTCACAAAGAAACACAATTCTTTCATTTTAGTGGTAGTCGTCGCCAAGTCTCGATACACAATTGTTATTTATATAAGGGATTATAAAACTCATGAAGTAAAGCCATTTTGTTTTTGCACTGTTTCAGAAAATCTAATACATGATGCATCTGCAATTTGGGCACACATTATACCAATTTTAAATTATATTAAATAATTATAACTTTTTATAGAAACTATTCATTTCGTTAGTGACAGTCCAAGTAGCCAATATAGAAATAGATTCATGTTTTACGTATTGACTTAGCTGCATAAAGAATTTGTTGCGCTCCGCTTAGTATCTTGGAATTATTTGGAAGCAGGAAATGGAAAAGGTGCACCTGATGGCCTTGGATGGTATTGAAAAGAACAGCTGATAGAATAGTAAAACAAGGAGAGGATATTAGCACATTTCAGAAATTTGTAAAAGTTGTTCAGACCAACGTACCATATATCACTATTGACATTGTAAACAGTGATGATATAGTAACTAAAGAAAAAATCATTTCAACAACGGAAAAACCACTACTTAAAAGGGACAATGAAAACTCACCAAGTCTTGCTTAGTTGTGATCATAATCAAATGACCTTTAGAAATAGAAGTTGCTTTACCTGTCTAAGTACCCGATATCCTTGTTTCCATGATAAGCATTTAGGTTTTTTAAATACTCATTTACAGATGAAAGTAATAAAGAAAATCAGAGTGATATGATAAATAGAAGAAACTTAAAACAGAATCTAAGTAAAAATATATTGTAATAGGAATTCCTAACAGTATAATACTCAGAAAAAAAGAATGATCAGCCGTGAACTAGTAAAATAAATATTTAATTATTAAATAAATTTAATTGGAAGAATACTACTTTTATGGAAACACCAACAAATACATACAATAGATGCTGATATTTATTTTAAAGACAAAACCCAGAGGCGACAAAATCCGAATATCTTCAAACGGATCTATTGCTTAAGGTAGACTTACATAATCAGCGCAATCAGATGTAAGATATGAAAATTTCGCTCGATTGATAGCATTCAAGTTTGAAAGAGTGCCTGAAGAGAATCGTTCGAATTTATGTCCCCAAATTATTAATATCATTAGATTATTCCGTGGCGATTTAGATTTACACGAATGTATAGATTTCGTACCCATAATTAGTGATTCTGGGGATAGTAACGGCCACGAACTGCCATTAAAATTATGAGAACGGATACTTTTTAATTAAATTACATTATCTTGATTTATTTAACCATAGTTCTAACTTCTAACATAATTATGATTTAAAGAGTGATTAATATAATCATAATGGATTTTTAATTCTTAAAGTTGTTATTTAGTCAGTAAGTAAGCATTTGTGATTTAGATTAATAGATAACTATTATAAATATAAAATATGTTTGTTACATAAAGACCCATACTTATCAAAGTAAAGTGTGGTAGTATACCTATGGTAAGCAATGTTCAAAAGGTTCTAATCTCAAAACGATTAATGTTACAATTACTGTTCTAATACTATATCATTATTTTTTCTATTGTTTTAATTAAGACTTCAGTGGCTGTTGATGAGAAAATTATTTTTTCTAATCAACAGCCACTGAAGTCTTAATTAAAACAATTATTTTTGATTATTATTAATTTCACAAATTTATAAAAAAACATAAAAGCGTATTTGTTCTTTACCGTCTCTTCTTGGTAATTCCCGTCTTTATCTTTTTCATTTCCGTACAAGCCTAGTTCATTACCAGTAATGTTAGAAAATTAAAAAAGTTGATTATCTCAAATAAATCTGGATAAATATATTTAATTTTTTTTTTAATTTTGCTTCCTTGATATACCTTAAATTAAAATGGCACCGATAATACTGCATATTTTGAAGAACTACCCTGTTGCTAAACATTATTGTTTATTGGTTTCTACGCTCTAGGCAGCACGATCTGTTAGTTTGATGTGATTAGATTATAGATTAGATACTGGTATATTAAGTTTATGAATATGGCCTTAAGATGTTTCAATAAATTTCCCGCAATCAACATAACATAAATAAGTCAAAGTGCCAAAATATCCTGCAATGAACATCATATAAATAGCCTACTTAATATCCTCCAGACCGAATTTCGGTCACGGCGGCCTGACTCAACGGAGACTAGCCATTGGCGCAGGACAGGATTATAGTGCCCAAGTGTATGTGCAAGCACAGGCGCACTCTTTATTCCCTCACTCGCATAACCCGATGGGACGGTAAACCGACACGACCGGAGAGAGATCAGGCGCAGGACCAACGGCTTTACGTGCTTTCCGAGGCACGGGGGTGAGACAGCGTCAACTTCCTGACTCGGGTCAGCTACTGAGAATTTCTTGACGGAAAATTTCAATAATGATTTTTTGGCGCGACCTGGCATATTAATAGCCTACCTATTAAATGTACAAATTGACAACTGACCAGACGATCCGATCGTAATGTAACACAAGAAGCGAGCTTGCCACGTGACTGAACACACTAGTTTCAAGTATACTACTCAGCTATACCGTACTCTACTCATAACCAAACGTACTACAAATACCACTCAAAGGAACTCGTGGGAAAATCTACTTTTTGGCAAACGAGTGGAGCACGCGACCTTAGGTGACTGTTTCGGTTCATTTCAGAGTGTGTGCTGGTACTGCATGACCAGATGCTCGGCTGGTCACCACCCCTTTGTTGTTCAAAGGACATATCACGAATTCGAAGAAAGCGGTTTGCTTCGTCATTCATGAAGCAAAGGAGACGAATAATCTGCCAGCATCTGTCTTTCCATCCTATTATAATGTGGGTAACTTCAAGGCAAGGCTTTTGTTAAGCTAAGTTAGTGCGCATTACCACATTCGGCTGCATCACCACTAAACGTCAAATGGAATAGTAGCCGAGTACTAGCTTATAATAGTAAAAAAATCAAACCAGGAAATAAACCCAAATAATTATATGTTGCAGTTTCTGCTGTTGCACGTATGAGCCGGCTCGAACCGTGGAAGTACCACGACTTCCACACAATACCAGCATGAAGTAGAAACTTTGTTCGGCATTTCGCTTGGTTAGGTAATGCAGGTGGCCGGAAGCCTAAATCTCCCCTTCCCCCGCCCCCCATAACATGGTAGCTGATTATATAATAAAAGACCACCCATGAAGTGTACCAACATCTACTCCTATGCTACCCTCTTCTTGAATGTGGGGCTCAGGCTGCCCCGCGTATTTTCATATGGGGGGGGGGCGAATTCCGCTCAATACTAACACTGCACGGGGCAAAAAGAGCGACCCCTGCCACGCTAGCCACGAATTTCTGCAACATCAGAGGACTTCACTCGAACCTTAATGCCGTCCACTGCCATCTGGAGACGGTGACGCCGGCATTGATCTTTTTGCTCGCATCAAAAAAGTAAGTGCGGCCTTTCTGTCTCAAGATCGTAGTAGACAGCGTTGAAATTACAGTGAAACCTCGGATGTTTGTGAAGTGTGCTTAAATTAACAGGGAGTGCAACCGCTGTCTATACAAATATATCTTTTAGAAAAAATATCTACGAAATTTATAAGCAAAAAACTAAGTAAATTTTTACCTGCATAATTATAGGACGGCTATATCCTTCTAGTTTTGTATGACTTTTGCACAGCGCTGATCCACTGCTACATTTAAAAATATCTGTAAATTATCATGATATATGTCGTGATATAAGCTTCAGTATAAAATCTATTAATTAGTAAGTTTGAAAAATATGTTACATTGAATAAATTTATTTAAAAAATAATTTGTTTTATTTAGCTACTTTTGAAAATAAGGGCTCGCTGTAAATTTCACGATCCCCGCCCAAGAGGATTGTGAAGCTGCAAATTTTCATACAAAAAGCGTTAACATTTTTCCCCCGTAAACATAGCCTAATTTTAATAATTTTTGGAAATGTTGTAGATATAATGAGAAACTAGGTCCATACGTTTTTATTTTAAAGAAATATTGTGTACTAGCTGTTCCCCGCGACTTCGTTCGCGTGAAATTTATTACGATTAGAAATTTTTGCGAATGACCGCAATTCTTTTTCTAAAATAAAAATAAAACTAAGTTACTCCTTATAACATCAGCTATCTGCCAGTAAAAGTTCTGACAAAGTTGGTTCAGCCATTTCGGAGATTAGCCGGAACAAACAAAAAAAACAGAAACAAAAATTTTAAAAAATTGTGTTTTGTTTTACAATATTTTATACAGCTGTGCCCCGCGGTTTCACCCGCGTATATCCGTGTCTGCGCTGCGCGACATGACACCTCGCTCATTTAGTTCAATAATTTTAGCTAAAAAATTGGCAAAATTAATGTAAAAATTATCGGCATATGTACGTTATACAGCAAAGTTAAATTTTATCCACTCTCTCTCTCCCCCTCCCGGATGAACGCCCCAGAAAGTGCCCCAAAACGGGTTTTTCTTTCAGTTTTAAGGATAACTGTACATGGTACATGAAAAGTGTGCAGGTACGAAATGATCCTTGATGAATTTTCTATCAACCTTTTATGCATACGAAAGCGATATCATTTATAGTTTTTGCGCAATCTGCCAGAAAATATGATCATTTCTTATCTTTAATCGATTTTTTTTTGCTCAAAGTTTAGGCTAAAAATTTTTTTAGCCTAAACTAAAAAAATTTTTTTTTGCTAAAAATTTTTTAGGTTTATAAAAACTTTACTGCCAAAATATGTATGACTAAAGTTACTCTTTCATTATGATAAAACTATTTATTTGAATAAGAATTAATACTACGGTACGACTGTAACCAACTTTTGTGTCGACCGGTGATCTAATTAAATTTTAGAACACAAAAGCTACTATTGTGACTTAGTTATGATAGTTAGATATATTCCTTACGCGGACTTTTTTGTAGGTAATAATGAGTACTTTAATCATGTAGCACATAATTTTTATGTTACATAATAGTTTCCGCAGCGTATGCGATAATAAGGATTTTTCGGCGTTACTATTGCATAATTTAACATGAAAAAGTTGTTATTTTGACATAACTGCAATAGTTAGGCATATAGTATCGCGGACTTTTTTGTAGATATTGATATCTTCTATAAACTGTAGTACGTCACTTTGCTCTATTGTCAATAGTTTCCGCAGCGTATGCGATATAAGGATTTTTTTGGTTTTTTTTTTTCACGCCGTTGGTTACATTAACGAAGTTTTCATACGGATCCCTAATTTTTTGAATATATACTATAGCCTATGTTCATCAGGGATAATGTAGGATTCCAATGGTGAAAGAATTTTTCAAATCGGTCCAGTAGTTTTGGAGCCTATTCAATTCAAACAAACAAACAAACATATCTTTCCTCTTTATAATATGTATTATAGTGTAGAAGTGTAGATGATATAAGTATTTGCATCTAAATATCTGTATTTTTGACTTAAAAACTTCCTCGAGCGTTTTTTTTTTAATTAAACTAAACTGAATTACTAAAAAAGAAAAACTAAACTATGGTGTACTGAATCAAACTAAACCAAAATTGTCTCATTATATAAAGGTTTAGTGGAGAAGGGGCTGAAAACGTTATCGCCCGAAACAATATTACAAAAAGGAAATGTAGGCAATTTCCTCCAAGACTTGCAATTGTCTCTATCGCACGATACGGCTATACGGACCGAGGACATGTGGAGTTCGCTAACCCGCACTGAAACAGCGTGGCGTCGGCCTGGTTGCTCCATAATCCTCCACAGATTGTACATTTACTTCTAAAAATACTTGTATAAGTGTGATATTTATTCATCATTTAATTTTATAGAGTGTATTCTTAAATATATATTTCCAATGTTGTATTAGTTCTCGAGGTCTAAAAACAAATGTTAAATTACAACAAAAAAAAAGATTCTCATTTGCTATCATTGCAGGTATACGCACGTCGCGTCAAATGCAAATGCTCAATCAATATTTTTGCCGTCAATGCCGTAAGTTTATTGACAATCGGTTCAATTGCATAAAGTACCTAAACGATCAATGATTGTCATTCACATACCTAGTTATTATAGAGCGATTCGAGTACCCTTTATCATCTCTTTGCAAGCGAATTAACGACCGCAGTTCACACTGGAGGGACCATACGTTTCACACCTTTGATTATTAAGGAACAAATTAACATTCAAATTAGTTACTAGAATAATTATTGATTTGCTAAAATTAAGCATAGTAAATAACTAACCAGCAATTCTGTCAATTTCAGCAACAGCGCGAGAGCACAGCGAACATCCATCTCCTTCCATCGCCATAGAATTGATAAGAACGAAGTGATTCCCGCGAAGGCTTAGGAGACTGACTGGAGGCGCATTCAAATGCTTCTCAAATCTATTTGCCAGTTGTGGTGTAATCCTTTATAACAATATATTAACTACATTAATGTAATGTACTAAAAAATAATCGCAGAAACACAAACTGTTTTATTCAATAAAGATTATAAGTAATACTTATTGAAAGTCACTATTTTGTTTAACTACCACTGGTTCGGAAAAAACCTCTGGGAAGAACCAGCAAGAAACCCAGTGAGATTTTTTTAAATAACAGCTTACAATCATGTTTGTTACACAAATAATCAACACAAAACCAGTTAGAAATAGCTTGGTAGCGACCACCTCATTCCCAGGGGTTATTAGCACCCATAAATTGCTTAATATTATAATAGCCCTTTATATATAAGCGTATACTTCTCCCCAATAATGAATTACTGACTCGATGGAGTCGAGTAACTGGTACTACGAGGGTGGATTGAAAAGTACTCGGCCTAACACAGATCGATTCAATTCTAAAAATTAAATCCACCCACATTATTTACTTCAGTTCAGACTAGTTCATTGTGTGAAGTTCGAAACGTGTGCGATAATTAGTTGTGATTTTATAAATTTATTAACAAAGTAATCGGACATAATTTCCGCGAATGGAGCAAATCGAGCAGCGTGCCGTCATTAAGTACCTCCATAAGAAGGGGCTATCATCAAAAGCCATCCATGATGACATGTTCAGTACATTAGGCGATTGTGTTCTGTCATATTCATCCGTCAAAAAATGGATAGCAGAATTTAAGCGTGGTAGAGAGAGTGTGAAAGATGAACTCCGCTCTGGAAGGCCTTCGACGTCAACTACTGACGAAAATATTAAAAAAGTACTTGATTTAATAATGGGAGACCGCAGATTAAAAATTAGAGAGATAGTCGAGATTATAGGCATCTCTTATGAACGAACTCAAAACATCATTGTCAACGAGTTGGGTTTCCACAAGGTGTCTGCGAGGTGGGTTCCGCGACTGCTTTCAGTTGAACAAAAAAGGACGCGATTGACTATTTCACGCGACTGTTTTGAGTTATTTGAAGCCGATGCAGATGATTTTTTGAATCGTTTTGTTACTATGGACGAAACATGGGTTCATTACTGTACACCGGAAACAAAACAACAATCAAAACAGTGGAGAAGACCTGGTTCACCACCCCTAAAAAGGCTAAGTCGATTTTGTCGGCAAATAAGGTGATGGCTTCAGTATTCTGGGACTCGAAAGGTGTGATTATGATTGATTATCTTGAAAGGGGTCAGACTATAAACTCTGATTATTACTGCACCTTACTACGTCGTTTACGAGAGGAAATAAAAGAAAAACGTCGAGGAATGCTCAGAAGAAAAGTCCTATTTCATCAAGATAACGCCCGTGTTCACACGTCACTACAGTCAATGGCTGAAATTCACAACTGTGGCTTTGAACTGTTACCGCATCCGCCGTATTCACCTGATCTGGCACCATCAGACTTCTTTCTGTTCCCTAACCTAAAAAAGCACTTGGGAAGTCAGATTTTCGACAAACGACGAGGTCAAAGCAGCTGTAGACGCATATTTTGACGCTAAGGAAGAATCATTTTTTTTCAACGGTCTAAATGCTTGGAAGGGGAGGTGGCAAAAGTGTATTGAACTTGATGGTGATTGTGTAGAAAAATAAAAATATAACTGATTTAGTATGTTTTTATTTTCTTGGTTAGGCCGAGTACTTTTCAATCCACCCTCGTACTAACCTGTGCCTGTTCCTAGTACTTATTTGAGAATGAATACCTCTTTTTACTTTTAAAATACGAGTGTTGCCATTGCGCACGCGTTAATCCCGGCGCGGCGTAAGGAATATATTGTTAGTCCGAGGTTACTCCATGTTTATTAATAATGGGCGCACAGTTGATGGCACTAGCGCCATCTATTATCGAACAGAGGAACTAAGCTTTCTAGATTACTGCACACTCGAATTTTCTACATCTAGTCGGTCGGGACCGGTATTTGCTGTGAACATTTTGGATATTTCGATGGAAAAGGCCTACATAAGGTTATTAAGGGCCGCGACCGTGTCAGTATTGAATTTGGGACACGGGCGAGGCTTTCGGAGCGAAATAAAATGAACTAAAGTGTTAAGTGTGATTAATTATTAGTGTGATTTAAGTTTTAATTGGTGTTCAGTAATTAAAGTGTCAAATTTGGTAATTCAATCAGCAGTTTTTATTGTCACGAACCCTAAACTCGTAACGATAACATCCGAGCGTTGAAATTGTACAATGTTGGTGCACCATGGGAGAGGACAGCCTTTGACGTTGCGGAGCCGTTTCAGAAAGTTGCAAGAGTTACTCCTAAGATCATCCATGTGGATCGACTGGCGCGCTATTATGGGGCCGATAATGCTCGGGACGAGCATGTCTTAGAAGGGCGCAGTGTTACGCGCCACAGTTGATGTTACTAGTGCCATCTATTATGGAACAGAGGAACTAAGCTTTCTAGATAACTCCACACTCGAATTTTCTACATCTAGTCGGTCGGGACCGGGGTCGGGGAAAAAGCCTATATAAAGCTATTTAGGGCCGCGACCGGGTCAGTATTGAATTGGCGATACGAGCGAAGCATTCGGAGCGAAATAAAGTGAACTAAAGTGTTAAGTGTGATTAATTATTAGTGTGATTTAAGTTTTAATTGGTGTTCAGTAATTAAAGTCTGGTCATTCAACCGGCAGTTATTAGAACCCTAAGCTCGTAACGATAACATTGTAATATCGAAATTAATACTCAGTTACCCTCACTTGTCCAAGTGTAATATAATACCCCATGAGGTAATCTGCATTGGAGGAGGTCTATGTTCAAAAGTGGACTATTGATAGGATTTAACGATAATGAAGATATACGTGAAGGAGTGTTCAATCGTTTTGGCATTTGTCATAGCTATTCCTATGCACATAATATGCTACTAAATTAGCATACTCTTTAAAATTATATCTTTGCCTAGATCAATGTTGATAAACAAAGTCATCATCAATGTGACCCTTAATTATCTGCTAAGATTATGTAAAAAAATAACTTATAATAAACCATGTATTTTAGATGGTAGTCACGCTGTAGCATGAATAGGTTAACTTAATCTGGGAAGTACAATGCTTGCACAAAATATCAGCCCCAAAATCAGCATCATTTTAGGGCTAATATTTTGTGCAAGGTTCTACCCAGGACAGAAGTTTTTTCCAGACCAGAGGTAAAAGTAAAAATGACTTTCAATAAGTATTACATGCAACCTATCTATATAAAGCACAAAAAATGTTTCTACCTTTTCTACGTTATAGAATTTGAAACCATCCAACCGATGCCCCAAACCGCTTTCATTAGAAAGGCAATAATGCGAAAATGGTTTTAGACCACTAAAACAATGCATTAGATACTATATACAAAACAAACATTAATAAAATTTTCTTTTTCCAAGAAATAAATAAAATGTATTTCTTTTTTTAGTGTAGTAGCCACATGCCAGGTATATCCTAGTATTGGATAAAAACGATTTTATTCTATTCTATTCTGTTACGTACGATAAGTGGCGAGAATCAGTGAGAGCCTCACCAATAATGAGGTATACCATCTTAGTCTTCAGGAGTGCTAACACTAACACATCTTCATTTTGATTGTTAATCGAAAGCAGATGAAATTGACTTTGGGCCACAGCATCTACTTATCATTAGGTGGTTTATCAATGCTACTTTATTTTAATCTTAATTATTGCATTCTGAGCAATACCTTATTATGAGCTTTTATTATTGTCTCGACTATTGCTTAGGTATGCTTCATTTCCAAAGCTTCTTCACTTTGTCAAGTCTGTAAGCATTTAGATATTATTGCTTATAGACTTGACAAGCATTTATTGGATCTACTACGTTTTCCGTTACTGTTTTTTTGCGTTGCTATTTCCCCCAATATCTTTTTAGACGAGGATATCTGTAGAAGAACATAGAGTAGCTGACATAGCCCAGTATATCAGTAAAAAAAATGCAGGCAGTGAGCAGATCACATAGCTAACTGGCATGTCACATACTGCAGGTGGGGCATCAGGCGGTATTGCAGTGATCATGTCTGCAGGCAGCCGTAATTCTCTACCAAAGTTTGCGAAAGCTAGTATCACTGATGTACTTTCGTGAACAGCGCTTCGATATGACCATAAAAACGGTTGTATATATCCTTGTCCAAATCTCGTTGTTAATTTTCCACAACTTTTGCTAAGTACCTCTCCAATGTCTGATTAAATAGTTCTACCATTCCATCAGATTGTGGGTGATAAGAAGTTGTTCTTGTTTTATGATAACCCATAACTAGGCAAGTTTCCTAGAATATTTGAGACTCAAAACTCCTTCCTTGATCGCTGTGAATCTCTAAAGGTACTCCAAAACGACAGAAGACTTCATGAACTAGTTTATCTGCAACTGTTGAAGCTTGATTTGGAATGGGAAGACTTCTGGCCACTTAGTGAAGTAATCCATCACAACCATGAAATACTTGATACCACTTTCACTTTCAGGAAATTGCCCTGCAACGTCAAGGGCTATCCTCTCCCATGGTGCACCAACATTGTACAATTTCAATGCACCTCTTCTACGAGTCTGAAGTCCCTTTACAACTGCACAACTTGTGCTTTTGCGACAAAAGTCCTCGACATCATAAAACTGGTGACTACCACCAAGATATCCATATCTATCTACACCAAAGTGTTTGAAGATTGGTTCCAAGACGTTTTACCTAAATTGGATGAGAATGCAGTTATTGTCTTATATAATGCATTGTTGCCATTTGTGTGAAACATGCTCTATGTTAATTACCAATAACAATGCAGTCAAAACTTTCGCTACTTGTTTATTAAGGAAAGCAGATTATAGTAAATGATGCAAAGGCAATTACTACACTAATGCTATTAGTTTCTACTATATACCACCTGAATAACCTACAGCAACAAAATAAATAGTAATTTACCTGTAGTGAAACCCAATGTCATGATTGCCAGCGACAGGATACATAGTTGTTCCAGCGGGTACTTGAAACAGCTGGGAAAATCTCATAACATAGTTATTAAATTCCTTCTGTGTACACCATTTTCCCTCATCAAATAAGTCTCCTGAAATAAAACTCATTACTAGTAAAGTATCTAAAAGAATTTACAATGTAAAACATCTCATCAGCCACAACATAAATGTAAATTAAAAATCCTTCAATTTAATAGAAAGTCCATATAATATGGTACCTAAAACAAATACCAATTCTGGTTGATGTAACGTCATTGCTGTCTGAAAACCTCGATGCATCTGCCATTCCCTTCTCCATTTGTCCAGCCAGTGTCCATTACGGGAGCCAAGCAAATGTGTGTCAGCTAAAACCATTACATGTACTGGTTCTAAACCATCTTTAGGCTTCTTCATCAGAGACGGCCATCCACACTTAAACATAATTCAAAACAAATAATGAATTATAAGTAATATTTAATAAAACTCCCTTTTTAAATTATTAGTAGTTATTCAATTTACCTGAATTTGAGTTACATAATAGATAATATATTCACAATATAAATATATAAATAGCAAACCTAAAAAGAAACGAGAAGTGCATATAAATAGGTTTCTACGCCAAGTCCTTACACCTGGTACTGGTACCATCATTTGAACTTATTGCATATCAACACATCTGGTAAATGGTAATATATGTACTTATATTCTATTTCGTATCATATTATATACCATGTATCTGTGATCTGGATCAAAAATTTACGATGATCTTTGTTTACATTTCATTATTTATTTATCCATCAAAATTCAGAATCAATTTTGCTACCTTCTTTTCTCTTAAAGGGGAAGTAAAGGCAAAAGATGACGTGTCCTTACAGCCTATTCTTCTCTTTTTCATACATACTTCACATAATATTATGTATTATGGGTTCATTTTATTTTCCATTTATTTAGAGCAATACAATTTTTGATAAATCCATTATGTTGTGTGAGATTTTCAAGTCCAATTTACTGAATAGTGAATACCTACCATTCGTTGTCAAATTTCATCGACAGTATCACAGATGTTCTTTATGCAATGAGTGTAGCGCGGAATGTTTTCAGATTTGCTTTATACATCTTACAAGTAGGATGATAATGTGAGGCGTTGAATGTTGATGGCAGGACATTCAAAAAAGATGTGTACCAAAGTTAGTAAGGTGATTTACTGGTGCAAAATGAACAAAAGGGTAACGAAATTAATCACATTCGTTGTAAACTTGTATGTGAGCGTTACTCGAAAATCAGCAATTATCAAATCTTATGTTAATTCGTCGAAATGCGTTAAATTATGGTGGCGCTACAATAGCAGTAGGATACATTTTGAAAACAGCGCCCAAAGTCAACTCTATATAGTATAAAACAAAATGCTTGCTTCCAGCCGTCTGTACGTTTAGATCTTTTAAACTAGGCAACGGATTTTGATGCGGTTTTCTCAATAGACAGAATTATTTAAGAGAAAGATTCATATATATAATACATGCATAATATTAAGTTGTCGAGATCCAAAAATCACTCGTGTGAAGCCGGTGCGGATCGCTAGTTAGGGTATAAAACAAAAAATATATAGCAAATAATAGTTAATAAAGTAAATATTTCATAAATAATTATTTAACATACTGTTGGTTGGAAATAAGACAGATATTGAGGCTCTACATTTTCTTTATTTTTCAATTTACGCCCACATGCACAATTTTGCATATTATTGTTTTATTGATTTAAAAGTTCATAACAGTTCACGCTAAAAATATTAAACGAATTTGAAGTCACCAAAATATTAAATTAACTCGGCACATTTCAATCTATCTACAACTACTATATTCATACCATATCCTGTATCTACGTTAGCGCCATTCTGAAAGATTTTTGAACGGTTATTTACCGCTTATAGCTGGACACTTTTTCTTCTTGTCTCCCATAAGAGATAGTCCTCCTTACCTCTACCCTCAATAGTTTTAATTCCTTATAACCGCAGAAACGCCCAAAGAGCATATAATCACTACATTTTAGAAACGTTCTTGTTTTTAACCATAAACTTATTAGGCTCATTAATGGATATTGCTTTTTTTTCTTGTTGTCACAATCTTTGCGATGTATTTTTATATATTTTGCGTTATTAACACCTTTCATGTGCGTAACTAGAACTTTTCAATAAACATAGTGAATAAATTCTTGGAGTTTTGGCGGGAACTTGGCTGTTCACGGATTGACGCTCCTGTTTTGTCGCTTGAATAATGGTTTGAAGTGACATTTGATTCGTAAAAGTGATGCGATTTTGTGTATTAAGTGCCCGCGCGTGTGAACTATTAGAGAAAACGACGAAACAAGTGCTTTGATGTCGATATAAACCTCAAGTTATTTTGATCGCTTGGGCGCCTTATGAACTTGAGTGGCTGTTGTCATCAATTGTCCGCTGGGTTGAGCTGTCGTCAAAATCTTCCAAGGGCTTCGCAATGCGATGCGTCAGCATCATGAAGGTTAGAGAACAGGAGAACGATCACTACGTACTAAAACATAGCCCGCCTGTCCTTAAAATTGTAGAATTTATAGTGGCGCTGACGTTGGTGAGTAGTGACTGCGAAGTTAACTGTTTATGAGTACAAGTAGATGAAGTTAGTTGAATAATGTACAAATTTTCTCCGCGGCATTGGTGAGAAAATTTTCATGATCCGTAATTTTGTAATTTTTGACAAAAAGAAACATAAAAAATGAACTACTTTGTTCCATTCAAGTTCCATCAAGAAATATTTTATTTTTTTATCATGTTTAGCATCTGATCGGAAAAATAGACTGAAAATGACTTTTATTGACCAAACTTAACGATCGCAGTGCCTCTCTTATGGTGTCCATATTTCTGGGACACTATTTTCTACGTCGATCGTTCTCCTGTTCTCTAACCTTCATGATCAGCATAATGTGAAGAAAAAGAATATAAAAATGAAGATTCCGAAAGAAATGATAGGCTCAAAAGGGCTAGAACCCAGAGCCGTAAATTCAGTTAAGAAAAGGGTAAATTCTCTTTGCTCATGAAGGTTAGAGAACAGGAGAACGATCGCCGTAGAAAATAGTGTCCCAGAAATATGGACACCATAAGTGAGGCGCTGCGAATGCTAAGTTCGGTCAATAAAAGTCATTTTCAGTCTATTCTTCCGATCAAATGGTAAACCACTTGCACATCCACCATGCACATTTTTTAATGTTTCTTTTTGTCAAGAATTACCAAAATTACGGAGCATGAAAATTTTCTCACCAATGCCGCGGAGAAAATTTGTACATTATTCAACTAACTTCATCTACTTGTACTCATAAACAGCTAACTTCGCAGTCACTACTCACCAACGTCAGCGCCGCTATAAATTCTACCATTTTCAAGGACAGGTGGGCTATGTTTTAGTACGTAGTGATCGTTCTCCTGTTCTCTAACCTTCATGCTCTTTGCTTTTCAATAACAGCTGATTGTCAATCTGACGTTTTAAAGAGCTACTAACTTGTTTATTTGGGTTTAAATCATTGAATTTTTAAAGTTATAAAATATAAATCGGCATATGAAGCTCAATAAAGTTTTATTTCTTAGTGATATAATATATATCAATTATGTCAGTGCACTGGAGTTCAGAAACCATGAAATGGGAGTACAGGGAATTACAGGCTACTGCTATGTCGGTTGATTATTCAGGAAATAATGTTTTGCTAGCAGGACGTAGATGGTTGGCTATAAAATACATCAATTTAGATGATGATACGGCTGGAGACATTGTTAAAAAGTATCCCCGTCATAGTAAATATGACGCCGCTGGAGCAGAATGGTGTCAAACCTACCAAGGAAAAAATCTATGTGCCATTGCGGTAAAATGATTTTAATTGACTTCATTATACTTTTTATTATTTCATCATAAATTTATAATTTTTATCTTATATGCTTATCTGTTTATAGAGTAATCAGCGAGTAGATGTATATGATTGGCGAGCAGGTAATGATCTTACAAGTATATGTTCTTTGCGTGGTCACACCAGGGTGGTCAGTGATACACATTTTCACAGGCAAGACCACAATCTCATTGCAACCTGCTCCATAGACACTTTCACACACTTATGGGATTTGCGAGATGCAAGAAAACCTATCATATCCTTGTGTGCAGTTGGTATGTATACAATATATAATTTAATGCTTTATCAAATACTTTACAAAATATCTACTGATCATTTTTGATGTTTCTAAACATTTATGAAGATATTTAATAAGTCATTCTTATATTATTAACTGTAAATATAAATATTGATATAAACCTCAAATGTTATTACTTAATTTAATGCTTCCACTGTTACTTAAGTTTGTTTAGTAACTATATATTAATTAAAATGACAGGGGATTAAATAACAAAAGATACAAATTAGCCCTTTTGAGCTAGTTTATTATAATTTTGTATAAAACAGGATTACTTGAGTTTATTTTAAAAATTTCAGCTGGAGCTTCACAAGTGCAATGGAACAAAGTAGCCACACACATAGTTGCTACAGCACATGATGGGGATATAAAAATTTGGGATTACCGTAAACCAGCTTCACCAATACATTATATTTCAGCACACTTATGTAAAATTCATGGAGTGGATTGGAGTCCACATCATGAATACCAATTAGTAACATCTAGTCATGATGGGAGCATAAAATATTTTGATATAAATAATGCCAGAAGACCTGAAAACATTATAATGACAAATTTTCCAGTCTGGAGGGCAATTTATACTCCATTTGGAAGCGGATTATTAACTATCGGAGTAGGATGGGGAGGTTTACCTAGAGTCGACCAGGCAGGGGTAATTGGTATCTGGGTAGGTGGCACATTGACCCATAGATTAGTAGGACATACAGACACTGTTCAAACTATGGCTTGGAGACCAAATACATCTCCGTCAAATTACCAATTAATAACATGGGGAAGAGATCAGTCTCTAAGAATTTGGACAATGCATCCATCTTTACTAAAAATGTGTTCACACTATTTACCAGATGATATGGACCATGAAGAAGACAACAACAGTGATTGTAAGTATTATAATATTTATTAATTAAAATATTAAGTCTAGTATGGTGCATTAAAAATAATGTTTCATAAATTGGTTAAGAGAATTGTGAAATGCCAATACGCAGCGTGAGTATGTATTTTCAAAAATGCTATTTGTTTCATACCGCTCGCTCCGTATTGCCATATCGTGCAATAGAGAGAATTGCAAGTCTTGGATGCAATTGCCTACATTTCCATTTTGGAATATTGTATTGGGCGATAATGTTTTCACCCCTCTAAACCTTTATGAAATGAAACATTCAACACACCTTAATCTCGGTTTGTATGTTTTTCTTTTTTAGTAATTCATTGTAGTTTAGTTAAAAGAGATAAAAACTCTCAAGGAAGTTAATTCGAATCTATATTTTTAGATATTTAGATGCTAACTTATACGCTATATTTCTTTAAAATAAAAATGTACAGACTTACTGGACCTGTTTTTCATTATATCTACAACATTTCCAAAAGTTATAAAAATTAGATTAAGTTTATGAAAGGAAAAACGTTCTCTCTTTTTGTATGAAAATTTACAGCTTCACAATCCTATTAAGTTAATAAAGAAGCCAATTTAATTGTTCAATACACTTTCAGCAGTTAGCTATGCATCCACAGTTGGCTCTATAAATGATCTTTCAATAACTGATAAAGGTCAAGATATCCAAATGGTACGTAATAACATAAATTCACTCTATTTTATTTAGTGATGACATTATATGACATTTTATTTTTTATAATTTCAGAACAAAATATCGCACAAAGTAACCACATCAATAGATGAAGAATTTGAATCAATCCGTGAAATGGCAAACATTGAAGTTACTGATATGAACATAGAGACACGAACATGTCAAATCCACTCAGAACGGAATGGTTACATTGCTAACTTGCAAGTGACATTTCCTAGAAATGTTACTGAACAGACTATTCCAAAGTTCTCATGGCTATCTGGAACTAATGTTGACAGTGCAACTACCATCAAAATCTTACAGGCGATTAACAAAACGGCTTATCGTAAAAAGAAAGAAGGGCACAGATGTCTCTTACATTGCTTAAAAACATTGGCTACATCTGTTGATGAGGTAAATTTATGTACACCATCTATTTATATATCTATCTTGTTACAGACTAACAGTGTTGGCAACCACATTTATTTTATTTAGCTGTTATCAGGAAGATACTGCTGCCCATCTCCTGTTTTAGTTTCCTTCTGTCGCCTCTTACGACACCGGTTGTTCCCTGTGCTCAGTTAAAAAAAATTGTTTTTTGAAATATTATATAAATTAGTACTATAGTATGTGCCAAATGGAAAATGACAATGGAAAAAAATGGACAACCTTTCGATGGTTTAACCAGGGGTTACAAACCTTCAATATAAAGGCACATTTTATATGTAGTACTTTATTTATAATTATTTTTTTATAATGATTGGTATAATATATATTTATTAACTATTATTAAAAAGTTATGTAAAAGATCGCTGTTGAAGAAAAATCATCTCTTGTTATAAAGTACTTTATTCATTTAACAACAAAAAGCATTAATTTATAACACATATAAAGATAATGATTTCTTAAATTTACGCGAACACTACACATTGAATAAAACTTTTATTTACGAATTTTATCACGTTTAATTCAACTTTAATTTATTTTTACTATCCCGACGTTTCGGGTGCTTTACAGCACCCGTGGTCACGGGGGGACTGAGATGTTTGACGTCCCAATGTCATAGTTAGTCCAGCTACCTTCAGTTTTTGAATATTAATTTTTGGTCCGATTTACGCAAAATGAGCTTATAGTATCATGAAGTCTTGCAGTGGGTTTAATTCGTAAATTATAGGATCCCAAGCAGCTGGCAGCACCCATCCATCTTCTCTATTGAAATTTGGATGTTTTTTTAATTTCAATAGCCTCGCGTATCATCCTTGGAATTGGTGTTCTTTTGCGAGGAATTGTGGTTTATCAAATCTAATGTAATGGTGGGGACGACGTCACGTCAGCTATATGTTCCTTCACGCGGGTTTTAATAGATCTTTTTGTTTGACCTATGTAAGAGAGACCACATTCACAATTTAGCTTGTACACACCTGCATCTTGTAGAGGAATATTGCATTTGATGGATGGTAAAAATTGACTAATCTTCTGCGGTGGCTTGTAGTATGTTTTAATGGACGCTCGCTTAAAGATGTAGCCAATCTTGTCTGTGACTCGACTGTGGCCGGCTTCACTCGTTCACTGTGACGTAGGCGCGGGACCCGAAGCTTCTTGTCTTGCAATACCTGCTTGACATGCTGAAGCTCGGCGGCCAGATGTTTTCTGTCACAGATCCCTCGTGCTCTCTGAAACAAAGATTTATCCACCGTAGCTAACTGTGAAGGATGATGGTGAGATTCACCATATAGATATCGGTTGGTATGGGTTTTTTTTCTATACACAGTGTGACCAATAGTGTTATCAGGATTTCGGATGACTAAAACATCTAGGAGGGCTAAAGAATTATTTGCCTCTAACTCCATTGTGAATTGTATTTTAGAGTTTGTGGAGTTAAGGTGGTCTAAAAATGTAGTTACTTTGTCAGATCGTAAAATTGTGAAAGTGTCGTCTACGTACCGCTTGTAGAATGATAACGTCACCGAATAATTACGTACTTATTCAAAAGATAAAACTTTATTTTCAATATTATATAAGAACTTTTTTATTCGGTGCGTGCGGACCGACCCAAAAAAGGTGACGCATCTCTGGCTGCCATTGTCACGTTTCTTTCAGAACGAACTGACGTAACGCGCGTTTTATTTATTTTAAAAGGATGAATTTTCAAAAGCTCAATATGGTGATTATATTTCTTCAAATATTTTTTTAATATGAAATTTTTCGCGATGTACCGTAAGACTGTTTGTAAAAACCAAAGACAATATTATTTTCATACTTGATGGTGATGATGATAGTGTTCTCTTGACTAATTCGACTATAGTATCAATTTCAATACTACTAAAAGTTGTCAATTCATGGTATTATAATTTACCACAACTGTACTATTGTGATAAATGATATAAAAAAATAATTTGAACTGGGTAAATCCTGTATCAGCAAAATAGTGGGAGGCGTAGGAAAATTCACTATCGCGTATCACCCTGTGGGTGTTGTAAGAGGCGACAGAGAAAAACTGAAACAGGAGAGGGGCAGCAGCATACTTCTAATAATAATTCATGTAAAAAACTGCAGTGACCAACACCTCCCCCAATCATGCTAAACATTTATTTAACAAACACAGTAAAAAATTATATAGTAAAAACAAAATAATAATTGTGTCTCCGGGTGTACCATCATTATCTTAGCAAATAGACTATACATCATCATTTCATCATCATTACAGCCTTTCACAAGTCCACTGCTGAACATAAGCCTCCCCCAAGTAATGCCACAAAGCACGGTCCTGAGCCACCTGCATCCATCGACTTCCTGCATGTCTTACCAGGTCGTCACTCCATCTAGTGGGGGGTCGCCCTACACTACGCCTACCGGTACGAGGCTGCCACTCGAGAACCTTTCTTCCCCATCGGTTATCGGTTCTTCGAGCTATATGGCCGGCCCATTGCCACTTCAGCTTACTAATCCGTTGGGCTATGTCGGTCACTCTGGTTTTACTGCGGATATCCTCATTTCTGAGTCTATCACGCAGAGAAACTCCGAGCATAGCCCTCTCCATAGCTCGCTGAGCGACCTTAAGCGTCCTCATACGGCCAGCAGTGAAGGACCACGTCTCAGATCCGTAAGTCATCACTGGCAACACGCACTGGTTGTACAATCTAGTTTTTAGAGATTGAGGTATACCTGACGAAAAGATATGCCGTAATTTCCCGAACGCTGCCCAGACGAGTTGAATCCGTCGATTGACCTCTCGGTCGAAGTTGGACTTACCTAGTCGGACTATTTGTCCCAGGTAAACGTATTCGTCAACAACTTCGAGCATAGTGCTCCCAACAACTACCGGCATAGGTGTGACATGGACATTGAACAGATCTTTGTTTTGTCCATGTTCATCTTAAGACCTATCCCTTGGGAGGCACTATTGAGGTCATTGAGCATAGTGCTTAAGTCCTCCAGCGATTCTGCCATAAGGACTATATCGTCGGCAAATCGAAGGTGAGTGATGTACTCGCCATTGATGTCAATACCGTATCCTTTCCAGTCCAGTAGCTTGAAAACGTCTTCCAATGCAGCGGTGAAGAGTTTCGGGGATATAACGTCACCCTGTCTTACACCTCTCTGCAGTTGGATAGGTTTCGAGCTCTGGTTCTGTACTCGGATAGCCATCGTAGCCCTACTGTACAAACACTTCAGCACTTCGATATACCGACAGTCAACTTGGCACCGCTGAAGGGACTGTAGCACCGCCCAAATTTCGACGGAATCAAAGGCTTTCTCATAGTCCACATACGCCAGGCAAAGTGGCAGATTGTAGTCTTCAGTCTTCTGTACAATCTGCCGCAGGGTATGTATGTGGTCTATGGTACTGAAGCCTTTTCGGAAACCGGCTTGTTCGGGAGGCTGGAAGTCGTCAAGTCTGCGTGCGAGACGATTCGTAATGACTCTCGAAAACAGCACGTAGACGCGGCTCAGAAGGGAAATCGGTCTGTAGTTCTTTAAGAGAGCGTTGTCGCCTTTCTTAAAGAACAAGACCACCGCACTTCTGCTCCACGCCTCTGGAGTAGTGCCACCATGGAGGACGGAATTGAAGAGCTTCTGAAGGACTTCAAGTACCGGTGTTCCACCCGCTTTCAGAAGCTCCGCTGTAATTCCATCCTCGCCTGGGGCCCTGCCGTTTTTAAGGTGCTGGAGAGCCATTCTAATCTCGCTTAGACTGACGTCCGGGATATCATCGGAATAGTGTCGGATAAGACTTGCTCTTGGATCGTTACTCACACTTGCGTGTGGCTCCAACGATGATCTGTACAGCTGCCCATAGAACCTCTCAATCTCACTCAAAATCTCAGGTGTCCCGGAAACGATGTTGCCACACTCAGTCTTCAGCCTTGACAGTTGGCTCTTTCTGGCAGACAGATCTCTGGCAAAGACTTTGGAGCCCTGGTTCCGCTCGATCGCTTCTTTAATACGAGAAGTATTAAAGTTGCGTAAGTCTCGCCGTATGCTTTTGGAGATCTGTCTGTTCAGTTGCCTGTATGCTGTCAAATCTGTTGACGATTGCAGGCTCATCTCCCGTCTAACAGCCATGAGATTAAGAGTGTGATCGGAGAGTTTTTGTGTTCTTCTGCGGCGGGTCTTGCAGAACTTAGCTCCGACCGCATGGACAGTTTCCACGAGCTTGTCGTTCATATCGTCCACTGCATTGCAATCTTCTAGGCACTGGAAGCGGTTACGTAACTCGAGCTGAAAGGTTTCGGGATTCTGGATTAGAGCACGAGGGGGACGGAGCGTTGACTTCATTAGACGAGACCTCTCCAACTTAACGTTTAGGTTCAGTGTGCCTCTAACCATTCGGTGATCGCTGCCAGTTTTCACCCTTGCGATCACTGAGACATCACTGAACAGTTGGCGTCTGGTCGTCATAATGAAGTCAATCTCATTTTTTGTCGAACCGTCGGGGCTCGACCAGGTCCACTTCCTGTGGGGCCGCTTCTGGAAGAAAGAGTTCATCATAAAGAGTCCCTCTTTCTCCATAAAGTCGGCCAGCTGCTGGCCCCTTCGGTTCCGTTGCCCTACTCCAAATTTCCCTACTTTCAGCTCACCGCTTTCTCTTGTGCCCAGTTTTGCGTTGAAGTCTCCCATCAACACCGTGTAGTAGGTTTTGGAGGAATGTATGGCTCTGGAAATATCCTCATACATTTCCTCCACCTCCTCATCGGGATGTGCCGAGGTTGGTGCGTAAACCTGAATGACCTTCAGCGAATACCGTTTGGTGATTCTGAGTATCAGGTACGCGACCCTCGTCGACACACTCCCAATCTTTACAACGTTGTTGACGAGAGATTTGTGGACGATAAATCCGACACCTCCTTGGGACAGATGGTCGCCCTCCCGGTGATAGAACAAGTTGCCGGACTCAAGGATTGCCGTGTCCTCCCCCTCTCTTCGGACCTCGGATAATCCAATAATATGCCAGCGCAACTTGTCTACCTCTTCTTCCAGCTCCAGTATCTTCTCGTCAGTCCTCAGGGTGCGTGCGTTATATGTTGCCAGGTCGAGTCGTCGTAGGTGGCAACCGAACCTCCACCGGAGATTCTTAGCACCCCCTGCCCCGCCGTTACCATGGTCGCCACCGTAGCCAGGAATAGCGGGGCCGCCGGGGACTGGGGGCCGTCTGTTTGTGTATTTATTCATTGGGGGGTAATTGCCATAGTTGCCACGCTTGGCGAGCGGGTTGGCAACCGCAGTTTTTTATTACGTCACAGTTGTCATCAGGAAGACGCTGCTGCCCATCTCCTGCCTGTCTCCCTCTCTCGCCTCTTACGACACCCACTGGACGATAGGGGGTAGTGGATATTCTTAACCGCCACTACAAAGCTTGAGAAAATTAATTTTTAAGACTATACATAGTAAGTGTTAAAAATTAATTTTCTCAAGTCCGCGTAATAAAATAAAATGATGTGTCTTACCTAGTTTGAACCACTACTCACAACACCACTACACTAGGCACACCACCGTGGATAATATGACACTTGTTTCGGTTCTACACGAGGCATCCACAGGTGAAGTAGACTGCGGTCTCTCTCTAAGTCAATACTCATGACGACTATGTTGATTTGAGTACCCAACAAAGTTTTGGTTCTGATTTTTGACACTGCATGCAAACCTACAATCGGATATTTTCTTATAAATTATAATCATAATTTTTTAAATAATTTTGATAACTTTCTAATTTACAAAGGACCCAAGTGTAAACTGAGTAAAATTGAAAATTATTTTTGTTAATATTTTGTTACAGATTCCAGTTAAGTCGAATGATGATTCGGATTCAATGAAATCAAGCCAAAGAAGTCAGTCAGAGAGTGAGAATGCTGGGGATTCTTGCATTCCTTTCCCTCGTACATGTGGTGCCAAGTGGTGCGGTGTCAGCACTCTAGTGGTTTTCAATCGACCTGCGAATGCGAGACGTCTTTCATTGAAACACGAGACTGGAACTCCACGATCAATGTCATCTTTGTCCTTAACACCTGGATTATTCAGTGGAGGCTTTAGTTCCGTATCACCACATGCAACTACTACGCCATCTCCGACAAATGCATCTGGTTTCCCACAATTACATCACAGACATGCATCAAATTCTATAACCACGTTCTATTTTCAAGATAGATGGGTAAGAGCCATTATTTATTGATTAAAGTATAAAGTTCAACATTTTTGTGATCAATAAAGAAGTGAAATATGTTACCCTCTCAAAAAATAAGAGGAGGCTGCCTGTATGCCCCAACTGCGCCACGTATATAGGCTGTAACGTGTTATGGATCTAGTGATTAATAAGGCACTATTCGTAATGCCCGGGCAATATGAATAATGTCCAATGTGAGTAAACAATGTGATAAAAACTATTGAAATTATTACATTACTAGCTTTATGAATAAAGTACGTTAATTATTGGGCAGACTAATAAAAAATGGGTTAGGTTTTTTGTTTTCATATGTTTAACACTTAAATACAATGGGAATAAAGTTTTTCATCAAAGGTATTATTCTTTGTAACACAAAGGAAGGAATACCCCATTGCTGGCTGCTATTTGATACTGCAAAGTAGTTTTCTCTTCCCTAACATTTTTACAGATTTAAATTTGTCAATGAATAACTTGTCGTGCAACAATAATTTAAATTAGAAATTTAATTGTAAAAATTATAATAGAATTAAATTAATAGACATTAATCATTTAAATAAGAAACTTTTGACGACAGATAGGTATTACCTATCCAAATATAATTTAAGACAGATAGCAAATGTGCTATCGTATTATTTATATATATTAACTCAGTCAAGTACTTGGCTACCCAGACATCTGCTCATGACATCTGCTGCGGTCAGTTCTTTCAATGGAGAAACGGTTTTAAGAGGTGGCTACTTAATTTTAGCTAGTAAATTCATGTAAAGAACATTTTTATAAATGTTAGACGTTCCATAAGTGTATAATTCAAAAATTGAGCTCTGATTACTGTGAACAATTAGTTCCGTTATGTTCACAAAAAGCAAGTAGATGAAAAATTTGTGTTTGTTCCAGTAAATGCAGGTCGCTTGGAGAAGTTTAGAAGTAACATCGTAAAAAAACTTCCATCATTTTCATACCAAAATAATCCAAATTTTTTATATGGAACATTATTTAAGCTTATTTGCAATGAATTTGATAACACTTTTACTTCTAAAACATTCTCCTTGAACAATCGCAAGGCATTCAATGAATGGGCAACAGTAGGAGATTATATGAACTTTACAATGTAAGGTCATATAATCCTAGACCAAACTATGAATTTAGGGAGTATGTTAAAATATTTAAAGAAGTGTGCGCCATGACCATAGTCTTTGTATTTGAGCAAAAAAAAAGCTTCTAATAAAATTAAAATGACATGGAGTATAAATTAATAGTGAAACTGGTAAAGTAAACTCTCCGCAATTCAAACTACCAGTTAGTTTTTAATGACAAATTAATTAAATCAGATCAGAACGTTGAATGGTTTTTGAGAAATATTTTACTGATATTTCGATCTTAACCACTAAGTCACTGAATCTTCTCTTGCCGTCACCGAATCATTACTTAAACAAAACGTAAATGCGTGTACAAAGTATTTTACATTTCATAAAGTATCATCAAAAGATAATGTAAAATATTTTAAAACTATTGATATTAAGAAACCGCAGATACGTGGAAGATTTTAGTTAAAGTTATTGCGTCTGTAATAAATACAATCGCACCTCAACCATCTAATATTTTAATACTAGTATCGAATCTGGTGTATTTCCTGTTTTATGGAAGCGTAATAAAGTAATACCCTTATTTAAATCTGGTGGTACACTGGACGCCGCCTATTTTATACCTATTTCTGTACTGCCAACACTTAGTAAATTTTTGAAAAAAATATTCTTGATCAAATGTTATTTTAATGTAATTAATTTATTACATAAAAATCATTTCGGATTTACAAATGGTCCCTCGACAACTGATGCTGATGTTGAGCTGATTAAATATATCTTTATAGCATGGGAGAATTCACATGATGCTTTGGGTATATTCTGTTAACTGTTCAAAGCCACTATGAAACATTAAACAGGAAACTTCAACACTACGGTGTAAAAAGTGATGCTCTTAAATTAATTATTTCATATTTAAGTAACAGAACGCAAAAAGTTGTCATTAATAGTAATAGTTTCTCCTGGTCGATAGTACAAATGGGCGTACCGCAGGGCTCATATTTGCTGATTTCACTTCATTGATTTTCAAATTAAAACGACAGTTACTAAATTATGACAAAGTAAATAATGCTATATCTAAATGAGTAAAGTGGTTTAATGTTAATAATTCGCATTTAAATAGCATTAAAACTAAATGTATGAAATTTATAACTCCTAACGTGTTAGTATTATTAATTAGTACTACTAAAATGTAATTTTAAATGGGTAGGAGCTAAATCTTGTTGATACCACAATTTTTCTTGGAATCACACTACACACAAAGCTTCTATGGGGCCCCTATATATCAAAACTAGCAAGCATACTTAGTTTTGCAGCATATGCTGTAAAAAGATTAGAAGTCTTACCAGTGTTGAAACAGCTAGACTAGTTTACTTTAGCTATCTTCATAGCATAATGCCTTACGCTTTTTTGCTATGGGGACACGTGACTGACACCGAAAATATATTTATTTTACAGAAGAGGGCCATTAGACCAAACTATGATTTAAAACCTAAAGAGTCGCTCAGACAAAAATTTTAAGAAATTTATATATTAACTTTGGCCTCTCAATACATTTATTAAAATGTAATGTACATTCACAAAAATAAAAGTAATTTTACAAAAATAAGTGATATTCATTCTGTAAATACTAAGAATATACGCTCGCTAGTATTATCAGTTACTCAACTCCACCCAGTCAGTAATTCATTCCTGGGTCGAAGTATAGGCTTTTACAACAAGACACCACAAAATATTCAAAATTTGACCTGCTCAAAGATCAAATACTATTAAACTAAGTTTGTATGAAAAGGTTATTATAATATTAATATAATATAATAATACCAAGGTATTTCTGATTTGTTATATGTTGTTAATTGTAACATACAGGATTGTAAGCTGTTATTTAAAAAAACCGTTGGGTTTCTTGCTGGTTCTTCCCAGGACAGAGGTTTTTTCCGAACCAGTGGTAAATTAAAAAAAGTGACTTTCAATAAGTATTATTTATTATCTATATTTAATAAAAAAGTTTCTGTTTCTGTTCACAGCATCCGTTTACCAACAGGGTGACGGTGTGCTCATTTGTCACCGTTATAAAAATATTATACTAAAGAAGAGGCCCGTATCTGTTTGTGCCTCTATATTTGCGTGTTCACTAACTTAGAAGTATAATTACCCATTTCTTGTTCTGTGTATCAAATCACTTTGAAATTTTATATATATGGATGATAAACAAGCACACAGTGCTCCTGATGGTAAGTATTTGCTGTGTATGAATCGACATCTACATTTGCGCTACATCTGTACTACTAATGTAGCTAAAGCATGTCTCTACCACGTTTACAACTTCCACGTATCTACTTTTAATATCTTATTACTACAATATTTATATAAAATAGAGAAAATAATTTACAATGTTTTAACATATCGTTTTAGAAAGCTCAAAGTCGCCGAGCAGGTAACATACGCAGTCGGGGCAGTATTTCCGGCTGCTCATCACCTCGAGTAGTGTTGTACGCTGCTAATAATCTTTTCCCTCTTAACCGATCACTGGCAGAAAAATACAATATCAACGCAGATAATCCAGTAGGTAAGTCTGGAAACAACGTAAGAACATAAAATCGATTTTACCGTTACCGCCTATCAAAAGTGTCATCTGGTAGACAGATGGTTGAAAGATGATCTCTCTTCGGATCTTGTACTAGTGTTACAAATAGAAACACAGATTGACTTTTTAAAAGATTTTAATGGCTTTCGGCCAAACAAATAATAACGCTAGGTATTCGAGCAGGGCTTCTGCACTCCGTGATGTCCGATGCGATAAAAAAGGGGGTGAGTGACGGGTGACGCCAGCCGCCCTCCTATATATCCCGGCACGGCGTCGCCACTCTTGATTCAGACCCTCTCTTCTAACACTAGTTTATAGTATATAAGATAACAACTTCAACATTGGTGAGACTTCTAATTCTTCTTATAGCTATTGCTACAGAACTTATGCAAACATTAAAAATCCGTTTAAAAACATTTATAATCTTATAATACATATTTATAATGTTATGAATAATCTTACTGATGCCAGTCAGTGTTTTGAAAAAAATTAAAGATTATGACCCAAGTAGTCTTTACTTCCTGTTTAAGCTGATGGTTTAATAAGAGATTTTTTTTAGATATGTGTGAAAAGAATGCAAAAGTGGCCACCGAGGAAGGTGAGAGCGATCTTGCGCATGCGTGGGGATTAGCAGCGCTTGCTGCTCGAGCCTTATCTGCACGGCTTACTGATCACATGATGTCCAGTGAAGAGAGTATGGGCTGGGTCGGACATCCGCTTTGCTGCAACCTCGTTCAAGCACTGTTAGTACCTACCTAATGTACTAATTATTTATTTCCATGTTCCGTTCCGTTCTGTTTTAGCCATTATTTCTTTTTTATTATTTGGGGACTACTATAAACTTAATTTTTTTTTAATACAATAATTCATATTTTTTGTGTTTCGAGTGTAGAGAACCGGAGATCCATTTTACGGAAAGCATGTCCTCAGGGATTAAGACTAAGATGGCATTCTGACTTCTAAGAGACATCTGCATTTTGATTCTTAATCGAGGATAGATGTAGATATTACGTGGTGTGTACGTATTTCCACGTGGTAGAGCCATGTTGCAGCTATATTAGTAGTATATTTGTAGCACGAATGGGTCGGCTCGACCGGGGAAGAATCACGCTCTCACAGAATACCAGCGTAAAATAGCTGCTCAACGCGTGTGTTTCGTATGTTGAGTGTAGAGAACCGGAGACCTTTTTACTGGAAAAGAGGCATTTCATCTGTCCTCACAGATGACAACGCATGTGTATTTTGATTCGTGATCGACGATTATTGTAGATGTCTATGGGCCGCAGCAACCACTTATCATCAGGTGGACTCAGTGCTTGTTTGTCACCTTTGTCCTATAAAAAAGATCTATGGACCACAGCATCCACTTACCAGCCGATGGACTGTGTGCATGCTTGTCACACTTATTCTATAAAAAATGTTGATGGTGACAATAAAAGCAACTTGAAATAGCACATACGCTATACTACGCAATACCACACCACACGACTAGCTACCCGTATATAACACCACTATTTTTACCACTCTGCACTCGCATGGCATCTCGATTCACTAACATCATTATGGCAGCTTCTCACAAGTCAGTTACTCAACATAAGCTTTCCGCAGGCTCGCTGTGTCTCATCAGTTCTTCTGTCTTGGAGGAAGCGGTGGCTCTATACTGATTACGTAGCTGCCACTCCTGAATATTCTTTACAGCCGTTATCATAATTTCTATCTATACTGCAACTTGTTCTTGAACCGTTGGCTATGTGTATTACCGTTGTTATTCTGTATATACTCGTTTTTTGTCCTATAGATATTTTATTTATATACCGTTACAGCCTATTAACTGAACATAGGCAACGGATTTAGGGGGAAATTTGCATTAGCTGCTACGGTTGACCACCGTAGTTTTTTTTTAAAATTTGTTGTTAGGAAGACACTGCTGCCGATCGGGGTATCTCTCAGTCGCTCTTACGACACCCACGGGACGATATGGGGCAGAGGATGTTCTACACAATAATTAATAATAATGCCCCCCAGACCGAATTTCGGTCACGGCGGCTTGACTCAACGGAGACTAGCCAACGGCGCAGGACAGGATTACAGTGCCCAAGTGTATACGCAAGCACAGGTGCACTCTCTATTCCCTCACTCTCATAATCCGATGGGATGGTAACCCAACACGACCGTAGAGAGATCAGGCGCGGGACCAACGGCTTTACGTGCTTTCCGAGGCACGGGGGTGACACCGCCAACTTCCTGACTCCGGGCAGCTACTGAGAATTTCTTGACAGAAAACTCAATAATTGTTTTTTTTTGGCCCGACCCGGGATTCGAACCCAGGACCTCATGATCAGCAGTCGCACTACTACAACCACTAGACCAACGAGGCAGCCAAACACAATAATTATTTAAATTTAGTAGTAGTTATTTGGTTTATTTATTTAAATTACATTTACTACAATAACAAATATGTGTGATAAATAATTTTCAAATTTCAGGATATCTCACTATGCTAAAGCTTCTGATGTACAAATGGCAGCAATGTTGGCGAGCGCTTTTGCTGTTTTTAATGACACCAACAGTTCAAGTTCACAGTCTACCATTAGCACATCGAGTTGCGTGAGTTTGATTTTTATTATAATTTAGGTTTTAGGTAATAATATAGTTTTCATTGTACAAGTTGTTTTAATTCTATGTTAATAATTATTAACAATATTCTATTATGTTATTTATAAATCGGAAATACATAAAATATGGTGTAAAAATAATAATAGTATGAAAGTCTTCCGTTTTCACACTATTGTTCAACTTGCTCTCTTGCTTACTCAATTAGTCATTTCATTACCTATACATATAAATTAGAATCTATTCTAAGTATCTCATTGTCATATTAGAATAACTGACTTCTATTATAATCAGAGGATTACTTGCATCTTATTAAGACATAAATATTCATGAAAAAATTGTCTGTTTGTCCGGGCTAAGCTTCGGAATTGTTTTTTTTAAATATTAGTAATCTTATTAATTATCATTTTAACCACTCCTGGTAAGCTTGAGACGCTTGTGTTAGGAGTGGTTCTCGACAGTAGTCAAATAGTGGATTCGAACCCACGACCTTAATAGTTCGCGATCCGCGCCCTGTCTACTGTCGCCTTAATTAATGGCTGAACCGATTGTAATGAAACTTCAAGAGCAGATAGAGAGCAATGCCGATAAGGATTTAAGCTACATTTTATCTGATATACGTGAAGATGTGTTTTGAAAAAGGAAATAACGGATGTAATAAATGATTTACGATTATCTTAAATCTAAATAACGCCATATTAATAGAAAAGCATGGCAGTTATTTGCATTCAATTTTACCTAGTAAAACTATAACAGTTTATATATATATATATATATATATATATATATATATATATATATATATCGAAAACGGCACTTATAAATTAGTAGGTACTATAAAACACACACTAGCCAACCGCATGTATTGTCTGTCAGACTTGATCAGACTCTGAAATGCGATAGTACAAGGTCTGCCGGCTCCCTGCCCCGCAGTACCCCCACCGTTGCTCTGAACAAGTACATTCGTTTCCCAACTGTAAAGTCTTTAAACTGTGGTAATGTGATGGTCGTAATTACATAATAACACCAAAATAAATAAAAGTATATATATAAATCAACAGCAACACTGCTAATCTCGATGTGACATAGGACATCGTTGCGGCACGATTTTCTTTTCTTGTACATAACGAATTACCACAACGAGCAACACTGATTAAGACTCGTAGAGTGATTAAGACAGAATTCCTCGCACGGCGCCTGTTAAACTAAACTATAAACTATATGCGCCGAGTGATGGTTTCCTGATCTACCCTCACTTTTATATATCTCCTTTTATTATTTACCTTCTATCTTCGACATCTATAAATATAAAATAAAATTGGAGTATCTGTCTGTTATATTGAAATGATTGGCTTCTATTAAACTCAGGTTATTTTCATGTCATTGAGACATAAATATAGCCTTTTTTTTAATTTTTGTCTGTGTATCTGTCTGACTAAAGTCCCGGCTAATCTTCGGAATGCTGAACCGATTTTGAAGGATCTAGGTTATATTTTATTTTATTATTTATTTATATTAAACTTCTTTCTAAATACTAAATTTGATAAAATAAATGGTCTTTGGCTATCTTTAGTCTAAATAGCACCTCATAATAGATCCCATCCAGGTGAATCCAGCGCGGGTCACTAGTATATAACAACATCGTAATTATAATAACGCTATATTGTATAATAATATGTCGTTATTATAATTGCATTTAATAATTCTTATTAAGGCACGACGAGTTCAAAATTTTTGTTGTGTGTAAGAAGTATTGATAATATTGTCTAAGGTTTTTTTAATTACATGTCCAAATATATTTTTAATTTTTTAGGGCAATGGAACTTCCCCATACAGCACTATGAATCAGTATAGTGAAATAAGCGCAGATGGGTGGACATTACCGATCATATTTCGAAGTAATTCCTGTTCGGAAGCAGAGAACTTCCACACAGATTCAACCTTGTCTAAATCAGAGCCAGTTTCTTCGTGCGTACTAGATGAAGCTACAGTCCACCTATACAATTGCTTTAAGCGTGTTTACGCGGATATACTACATCGTTGGCAGCTTCTCTATAAAAGAACAGAGGTAAATTTTATATCAATAATATTCTTCTTTAACATCATTACCTTTAAAAGTGCACACTTGTAGAAAGATTTGCCTTAAAATGGCACTAGTAAGCAGGTTGTGGTTCGAAGTAGACATGTGTCAATCGTGAATAATTCGTTCATTTGACTCGGGTCGTATCAAAGTATTGATAATTGCAATTATATTTTTGGATGGTCCGGATCATACGACCAGAGAGTATAGTAATGTCCGACGACCGACAGTATCGAGCGGATCTCATAGATCATAGAGTACTGAAACTCAAAATTTGAATGATCGATCTGATTGACCTGGTTCTTAAGACGAATTAATACTTGAACGATCAAGTCACTAGAAGAGAATGAATGACACATATCTAGTTCGAAGAACCAAACCTTTGTTGCTGCTGCCAGTCTCCAGTCTCGATATTTTATTTCTAGGCGTAAGATTTTACTGGCATTTTTCATTGCCTTGCCTCATTTGAGTTGCCAACTTTTTAGGGTTTCGTAGTCAACTAGGAACCCTTATAGTTTCGCCATGTCTGTCTGTCCGTCTGTCCGTCCTCGCTTAATTTCTGTGACTGTTAGCACTAGGAAGCTGAAATTTGGTACCAATATGTGTATCAATCACGCCGACAAAGTGGTAAAATAAAAATTGGAAAAAATGTTTTATTTGGGTAGCCCCCCTATATGTAAAGTGGGAAGTGATTTTTTTTTTAATTTCAACCCTAACGTGTGATATATTGTTGGAAAGGTATTTAAAAACGAATAGGGGTTTACTTAAATCATTTTTTGATAATGTCAATAATTTCGGAAATAATCGCTCCAAAAGTAAAAAACAATGTAGAAAATATGAAAAAAATCTGAAAAGTAGATCTTTATAAGGACTTTCTACGAAAATCATTTTGAACTTGGATAGAAACAACAGTACCCACTACCGGGAGCAGTTGCAGGAGCGCGGAGCGCTGCTGGAGCGCGAACATAATGAATATACCCACCTTTAAACTCATAAGTGTGAACACTTATTGTGACGGACGGGAAAATACGGAACCCTACCTGTGCGTGGCCCGACACGCTCTTGGCCGGTTTTTTTATATCAAATGTAGTGTTCTCGAGGCTATTAAAAGATACCTGTAAAAAATAGTAAATGTCAAAAAAGTAATATAGTATGTTACGATTTACTATTCCCGTTTATAAAGGTTTTGTAAGTATTTTTGGATGCTTTGAGCTTGCTTTTGATATCAACAGCCTTTCAGCATAGTCAGCCTTTATTATAATGGTATATAAGCTTCGCCTACTATATTCTTTTTTAGGGTCAAAGTATACGGACCGCTAAAGAACCTAATACTTACGGGGGCGTTCAATGTATTCTCGATATTAGGGTGATTTGCTAATAATGTGGGTAATTTAAAAAATCATTAGCTAACGTCACTACCTGAGGATATAAAAATGAAATTTCGTCTGGATAACTTCATTATTTCATATGTAACCTTCAATCATAGACGACGGGAATGACTAATCCTCATGTTGAAAAAACCGAACACCGTGTCGTGATTCCTCACTAAACAAGAAAAATATCAAAAAAAAATATCCACGAAGAAATGGTGGCCGTTAACAAAGACTCTACTCCTTCAATGTCAACCGTATTGATGTGGCCTTGTGAATTTAAAAGAGGCAGAGAAAGCATCGAAAATAACCACCGCCCGGGTGGACCAATTACCAGCGGCTATAGAATAAAAATGTGAAAATTATTTATTGAAAAAATTGTATTACAAGATGCACGAGTAAGAATTAAGAAGTTAGCATAAATGATTAACCTATCCGTTGGTACCGCATATTGGTACAACATATTGCATGACTATTTCAACCTCATAAAAGTCAGTGTGCTGTGCCGCGAATGCTCACTGCCGAAATGCTGAAATGCAAAAGCGGGCACGGGTTGACTGCTGTAGGGAGTTTTTAGAGCTGTGTGGTGACGACCCAACAAGTGTTTTTGATAAGATAGTTACAGAAGATGAAACGTGGGCTCACCACTATGACCCTGAGAGTAAACAGGAGTCTATGCCATGATATAGAAACCCCAAAGAAATACTATTGATTGAGTAAACAACAAAAGGTGAAATAATCAACGCAGACAAATATTCAGCCACTTTACGCCGTTTGAGAGAAGCAATAAAAGAAAAGAGAAGAAGAAAACTGACCAAGGGAGTGCTGCTTCTTCATGACAACGCACTGTGACGCATGTGAACACATGGCGCGGCTTCCGAGCTTGCTGTACGAGATTGCGGGTTTGAGGAAATTCACCACCCACCATACAGCTCAGATCTAGCCCCTAGTGACTACTTTTTATTCGCAAACTTAAAAAAAGTAGTCCCAAACTTAACTGCAGCCCACAGTCAGAAAGTTAGCAGTAAAAGCAAAAAATGTAAGAAGTAGAAGGCTATAGCTATTTAGAGTAATAAAACCACACACTACTCCTGCAGCGTGAGATAATGATTCTGATGAGAGATGAGTTTTATTCTAAAAGAGTATGTTGTTGGCCTTGCGGCCTTTACGAATTTATTGAAATAGACTCGTAAGTGAAATATTGAGCTCCTAAGTGCGCCGACGAGTTGTTGAGGGCGCTGATCCTGCCGTAATAGGGTGTTTGTTATTGGAGTGAGGCTACTCAAGCTAGGGGGGAGGGACTTGATATGATGCAAAGGCCCCTCAGAAGGTACGAACCTCAGCTTGAACCATTATCGGAAACGGGAAACGGGTGGTAAACTAAAAACGCCCCGTATTGCGTTTATTAAACCTGTGTCTGTGAGTGTAACCTCGCGTTTGCCAGCGAACGCGGTGTGCGCGAGATTTTTGTATTGTAATATGTTTGAATGTGTGTATTAAAGAGGAGAACATTGTGGAGATTGACTATGATAACATGGCCCAACCTTCCAAAATTCAAAACGTTTTAAAGTATTAACAAAGCGCCACTAACACTCACAACGCATGTGTGCGTGCTGAGACAGCCGTCAAACAAAAATAAATCGAAGGATTTGTTGCTCGAATATCGGCGTTAATAATAGCTCATTATTATTAGTATGGCGCAGCATTGACGTACTCTTTGAAAATGACACGTGCGTTGTCTTGCGCGGTTGCCTAAGTTATTATTCCCGGGTCATTAGTTGACCAACAAATTTGGTGAAGACAAATACAATTACATATAAACTTCGTAAGGACTTGACTAAACACAATAATTTGGAGTGGAGGGCAACGTTATCGTAATTTATCTGTACCGGTATTTGAAGGGCGTGTTGTGTGGGCAGGTGATGAAGCAGGTGTCGGGGCGCGGGTGTGCGGGCGCGGGCGGCGGCGTGTGCGCGACGGGCCCGGAGGCGGTGTGGCAGTGTGCGTGGTGCGGGCGCGTGTGCCGCGCGGGCGCGTGCGCCGCGTGCCGCCGCGCCGCGCTGCGCTGTGCCGTGTGCGCACTCGGCGTGCGCGGCCTCGCCGTCGCCTGCGCGCTCTGCGGTCACGCCGGCCACGCGACCCACCTACTCAACTGGTATACTATTTTTGACGTGAAAACTTCTTAAGGCACGTTGTGCATTTTTGTGATGGAGAAAAAACACTGAACACTCGTGACCGTCACGCTCAGATACATATATACAAATGTGTGTGTGTGTATAACAGGTGTTTGTGAAAAGCTTTGAAAATGAAGACAGACGATAGTACTAACGATACCTTTGATGATGGGACCAAAAGGAAGTCGATAACTTCATAAAAAAAAATCATGAAAATACTTAAACATAAAACCAACAGTGAAATTTCAAATATCTAACATCAGCTAATAGTCAATCAAAATCAAAAAATAAAAATTAAAAAATAAGGGGTCAATATACGCGTGGCCCGCAGCCCACCGCTACCACAGCGAGGCGACACGAGTCGGTCGAGCGGCGTTAGCGCGTTTGTGAAAGAGAAGGGTAGAGTGAGCGAAGTACAGTAATACCTAATGCATTCTTTCGTATGGAGCTAGATAAAAGAGCTCCGCGTCCGCGCGTTTATTGACCCTATAATCAGCTGGTACCATTTAAATTTTACTGCTGGTATTATTTTTCGTGCGCGTGAATAAACTTAATAAAACGTTGTGAAAAGATGATTTTTCTTTTCATTGGGATCCATTTCCTTTTGGTTCCAAGTCCAAAGGTATCGTTGGTACTATCTTCGATTTTCGTTTTCGGGAGCGTTTCAAAAATACCTTGTATATAAGAGAGCTATATACAAAAGAGCTATACAGGGTTATTTTGCAATTACAAATTTGCAGAATATGTTCAGAATAAGTAATATAGGCAAATGGTGAAGAAAAATTAATTTAAAAAAAATCTCTTGAATCTTCTTTCTTCTCTGCAAAATTTTATCTTTTAAATTCAAAATGCATGGTATATCCATTATTTTAACTAATTTTACCTCGCACACACACATTCGTAAACCCTCACGCCCAGTAATGTACCAGCGCGTCTTCCCGCGCCCTTCTACCGTTACGCCGTAAGTATCTATGTCTGCTCGCCCGACCGACAGCTGACAGTATTGACCGTGACATCATTATGGATGCTTCATTGCCAATGACGTAACGAAAATATTGGAACCGCTGATATTATGAAACTGTGAAAGGTTGATATTACATGTGAATATTGTATTACATTTTAAGCAATAAAAGTTTACGTGGTATATACAAAGATAATAAAGTAAGTCTATAAATTAAATACCTAAAATCAGCTGGTAAAGGGTCAAAAAACGCGCGGACGCTGAACTCTTTTTATCGAGCTCGGTACGAAACAATACATTAGGTATTACTATATTTACGCTCACCCTACCCTTCCCTTTCACACTCATGTTGCGGCGTTGCCAAACCAAATTTGCGTACTAAACTTTGCAGACGAAATAAGCATTAGAGGCGGCAATCACAATAAAACTTGGAATTAATTTTAATAGACTTTGAATTATTTTAATAGAATTTGACTTACCTCTTTTTAAATTCAATGTATTTGACGGATTAAAAAAAGGACAGTCATTTAAAACAATGTAAAGGAATTATTTTATAGATTAATTGTAATAGATAAGTTAACTATCGATCATAATTGCTATTGATTTTAACTATTAAGTTATTCAGTAGCATTTCATTTCCATTTTCTTGTACAAAATAAAAGATAATGATGAAATTTTGTTTATAATTGTGTAAGTAAGTACCCAATTAGGTACGTTTATTAATGTCAATATAATTTTTGTAGTAACGAACTGCTTGTTGCGTCAGGGTACAATTGAGTGTCTAATTGTATTAAAAATGACAACTATAACTTCTAAATTCCATATGAAGAGTAGCCGTAGATACAACAAAATTAAAGTTGGGAATGTCGTAACGGTTTAATGATCTGTGTAATGGTCAAAATGCTAACCACAAGGACATACGAAGGTAGCGGTGGGCATTTATTAATTTTAGTTTTTGAGACAGTTCCGTGTTGACTTGCGCGTGAGCGACAGTTTCATCGTTTTGTTTATGAAATTTTTGTAATGTTTTGTGTTTTGTTTTAATAATGCCTAATGCGTGCGTTTATAGTGCTCGTGAATACGGCGACATGTTAATGTGCCTTAGAAAAGCTCGCGGGATGGCTTCGCGTGCATTATAAATTTACAATTTTATAAAGTATCATTAAATTGTCAAGGCGTCGGGATGGAACAAGTGTATCATACTGGATAGTTCACAAGATGTTAAAGTGTAACGTACGTGTAAAGTAAAGTGTAGGTAACGTAAAAAGTGTATAAAGTACAAGCTTTAGTTCCCGGTCAAGTGCAAGTTTCTGCCGTTAGTTTTTAGACCAGCAACAATGTGTGCTTGTTTTCATTGAGCACGTCATATGGACGAACGGTTCGATATTTATCAGAACGGCCTGTGGAACCAAAGAAATACACCACGTGTATTCTAAGGTTAACCCGCATGCTGTTCGACAAACCGAGCACCAAACCCTGTGTGTCTGTTAACGTATGGGCAGGTTTATTAAAGTATTTAGTTTGGTAAGATGTTTCATATCTAATTTTTTTAAATAACTTAGTACTGATCCGATCTGAATAGGTGCATAACTGAATAAATCAGAATAATAAACATACCCACACGATAGATAATTTAAGTAAATTTTTCATAAGCGGAGAATCAAACCAGCTATTTGGTTTATTTAACCTTTGAATTCGAATAAAAGTGACTAAGTGGAGACTAGCTCAGTGGGAAAATAGTAGGTTAAGAAGATGAGTTAGGTATTTGGACAAGTGTTGTAAATTATTAGGTATTGATACGATCGCGGGCAGTACATGAGTAGATAATTTCCTTTAACTACTCATGTGGCTGCGGGCCGAGCGGACTCAGCGTCGCGCGTACAATGACCCTTGTCAGCTAGATTTTACGTATTTAAGTTTCACTGCTGGTTTTATGTTTAGGTATTTTCATGATCATTTTTAATGGAATTATCGTTTCATTTATCTGCACTAACATGATAGAGCGTGAATAAAGCTAATTGAACGTTGTAAAAAATATTTTATTTTCATCGGGATCGATTTTCTTTTTGTCTCATCATCAAACTTAATACTATCGTCTGTCTTCGTTTTCGGGAGCGTTTCAAAAACAAATGAACTTTCAACTACAGTTGTGTCAACATAGTCTACTATTACGCTATGCGTAAACGAACTGTGCGTTCCTTGGGGGAGGCGTGGACTTGTGGGTGGCTGTAATGATGATGAAACGAAATATGCGTCATTAGCATATAGCATAGTAGCCTACGATGTAACTAGGATCACTCGCGTTCGTTCGTAATATAATATTTCATAGTGAACTTTGTGATTGGTGGCCTGACTAAAATATTGTGTCGCGTGCCATCGATGGCACACGTTGCCATTGGTTCGCTAACTCTGCCCTATTAGAACTGTGAAGACGTCTATGCCCGGTAGTGGGGTCGTATATAAACTGTAACTCTATATGTATATTCTCTTACCTGTTGCATGTGTGCCATAGGCCATAGCACAACATCTTATGATATCATGGTTAATTCTGTATATATCTGTATCTGATAATAAATCATCATCATAACAGACTGAATTAACCATTGGTTTCTATTATTAAGTTATTTTTTTTTTATTTTATATATTGAGAATGACAAACGAGCTCACAGTCCACCTAATGGTATGTGGATGCTGTGGCTCATAAACATCTTCATCTATCCTCGATTAAGAATCAAAACGAATATGCTTTGTTACCATAAGATGGAATAGCTCGTTACCAGTTAAAATATGTATCCTATATTCTATCTCTGTCCTCTACGCTCACTATACGAAACTCAGGAGCTTTATTCTGCTGTCTCATGGCGGGTAATTCACGATATTAGGTGATTGATCAAGATTACTTTTACAGGTTCGCTCATCATGACAACTGTCCAACTGGATGTGGTTGCAAATGCGTCATCGAAGGCACATCCGTGTGGAAAGGAGTAAAATATGCTTAGGTTAGACGAATAGGTTATTTATGTAAGTTAAAATAATTACAAAAGTTTTATAATACAATTTTTGACTGAATGAAAACTGCAGTTTTACTCTAAGAACATTTTTGAACTCTAATTTTAACTAGCTCTAAAATTAACGGATGTACCCACAACATTGAGTATAATCAAGGCAAGTGTGAAGACTTTTGTTAAGTTAGAGCGTTTTACCATCTAAAGTCAACATCTACCCATCAGGATATGTAATCTTCAAATAAAGCAACAATTTTCGTCGAATGAAACAATCATTTAAGTATTGCAATGTACTACCTGTGCATGACCAGTTCATACTCCAACTTCTTAATGAAGAATTTTTTAATAATTCTATTAAAATAAAAGTAGAACATAATAAGGGTACTCGGGCGATCACTCGCGGTAAGTTGGTCACGACAGTAGCGCGGAACACTTACGGCAGACGCACTGCTGTATACTTGATTCCAAGAATCATAAATAAATTGGATCCTGGGTTTAGGAGCTCTATTAATGAGAAATATTAAAAAAAAAAACTAAAGATGTTTCTAGTGAGTTCTTTGGATAGCAAAGATCGAATAGTTTTATGATTAAGTACGTTGTTTTTTCTTCTTTTCTTTTTTTTTATAAGCAACAGCCACTAAACCTTTTAGTTGCTGTTGAGATTTTTTATTGGTAATAAATTATAAGTATAGTCAGGCACTGGCTTATAATAGTTAAAACAACTAAATAAACAAAATCTAAAGGAATGAATAAAGGACCTGCGCAGACGACAGGCAAACGACGAACTGACTAAACTGTTCTCCGTTAAACTTCTCAAGCGTGGGAATATTACGCGACCAAATTGTCTCAAACGCATGACTGCGGAGCGATATCTAAATCGGATCGACAGAACTGGAATTCTATAGCTCTAGTAACACGTATCGTTGAAATTTTTTGCGAAACTCCCGTCTACTGCCCCTGGTCCCTGTCCTATAGAGCAGTGAGATCAACTGAACGGAAAGGAGAGTTCAACTGAACTCGGTACTTTTCGTCAGCAGTGTGCTTTTAATTATGTCATACAATCAGATGTCTTGTATTTTATCACTTTCTGACTCACATATACAGTACTCCGTGTATTATTCATAGTGTGCAACGGCCTGTTGTCCATCAACACCATTTTTACACAGGTATAGAATTTTCATTATCAAAATGCTGTCAAATTTGCCGTGTGGTGTCAGCGTAAGAGAATCTATTACACCAGACAAATAATAGCTAAACCATCGACGAGCAGCAGCATCACAATAGCGAGATGGATGATACTGCGGTCCTTAATACGACCGTCAAGATGTTTTTAATGTGATAAGGGTGACAAAGGAGCACACAGTCAAGTAGTTGCTTTGGCCCATAGACATCTACATCTATCCTTGACTACGAATTGAAATGTCGCGTTGTCACCCGTGAGGACTAAGGTGTAACGGCTGATCTCCACTACAAGGGGTCTCCGGTTCTGTAAACTCATCATATGAAACACAGCAGCGTTAAGCTGCTGTTTCACGCTGGTATACTGTGAGAGCGTGGTCCTTCCCCGGTCGATTCCAACCCATTCGTGCTACAACTATACTACTAATATAGCTGCAGCATGAGCATGACTCTAACACGTATGAAGAGTGAAGATTAAGGAAAATCCTGTGACTTTTACGTCCTGTCGAAAAAGATGCTACTTATTTTCAAAAAAAATCTTAATAGTATAGCTCTAGTCTATTCACGCTATAAAAATGAGATATATGGTACTAATGTTTTGCATTTATATGTATGTTATCTTTTAAAAGCCTTCCATTTCCAATCAGCTGTGGATATACAGATTTCTTTCGACGTCGTGCATGCAGGATATTTTCGGTACATTCGAAAAACTGATAAAATTATCTCATAAACTATAGGAGTTATATAGAAAAAACTGGGTCACATTCGACATAAGTGAAACCTTCAGATTGCTATATAGTAGCGCCATCCACTTCATTCTATAAGTAAAGTCATTTTATCTAACAAAAATTGTTTGACTCTCAAGGTACCACCTACGCTATAATTATATATATATATATATATATATATATATATATATATATATATATATATATATATATATATATCTGTGTGACGGCATGACGGCACCGCCGTTGTACGTCGGTACAGCAAAATTGTAAAGAACACATGCACCGATCGCAACGACCGGCGCGTCGCTCAGTTTCCCCCACCGCCCCACTACTCGGCTTGTTTTGCAACAACGGGTATAAAACGACCGCGCAGCGGCGGAGCAGGGGACTGGTCCGCGCTCCCGTACAGTACGGTAGTGCTGTCGCGCTCTCACGCGCCTCCGCTGTCCTGCTCACGCGGAACAGCGTCGAGGCTGCCGGTGAGTCACTTTTACGCTACAGTTCTTCCCCCCTGTCTTCGGGCAGGGAGGTCTGACTGACTTCCGCTTTCATTTTCATTTTTCATTTTCACTTTTCATTTCATTTTCATTATCATTTTCATTTTTCAATTCATTATCATTTTCTTTTACATTTTTTTTTGTGTACTGTCATTTTTCTTGAGTTCTTGCATTATTATTACGTGTATAGTGTGTCGTAGTACGTCTCGCGTTCTAGTCCCTGTTCTACAGAGAACAGGGACCCGTCCTCATCTTTATCGTTGCATAGCTTAGCTTGCTTACTGACCCAAAATGGCCACACCCAGCTTCACTGAGTCCCTCGCCGCCCTCATTAACCAATTCGGATTAAATGGCAATGAGACGGTCCTCGCCGCCATTGCCACCATCGCCGCCCAGGCTTCCCTCCCTGCCCCTCAGGCACACCACCCGCCGCCGGTAATCGCGTCTTACCTCGAAACGAGGAACTCCTTTGCCCCGCTAGAATCTGCCCCCTTAGAAATGGAGTACGCATGCTCCGAGTCCTCGGCACCGACCTCCCGGAAGAGGCCCGCCACCACCTCAGGCTCCGGTTCATCGGCGTCCTCTGACTCCGACGGAACCGGGGAGTCCAATTTCACCACCGTCACCTCTAAGCGCAACGGTAAGCGCGCCGCGTTAAAACGCACCCGCCCTACTTCAGCGGCCCCTGCCGCTCCCACATCCTCCGCAGCCCTCAACGCTGCTGCCGTCCCACTGATGTCACTAGACATCCCCAAACCGCCCAAACCAGCCTCTCGTTGTGCTCCAGTCCTTGCTAAGAAGCAAGTCCCGCCCCCTGTCTTCCTAAGAGACAAGGCAAAATTCACCCAATTATCCAAAACCTGCTACGACGCAGGTATCAAGTATGATCATGCCATCAACCTCGGGGAGGCGATCAAAATCATCCCTGCCTCGATCGAGGACTTCCGTCAGATCACCCGGCTATTCACAGCCGAACGAATCTCCTACCACACATACGCTCTCCCGGAAGAGCGTAAAGTCAGGGCCGTCATCCGAGGCGTCCCATTTGAGTTCTCAAACGAGGAAATCCTTGAGGACCTTAAGTCCCAAGGTTTCCCCGTAGAAGCAGTGCACAAAATGCACAACAGAACGGGCAAGAGATACAACCTTGCCCTAGTAATCCTATCAAACGTGCCGGAGGCTAAAGCCATCTTCCGGCAGGTACGCACAGTGAGTGGCCTGTCAAGGGTGAAGGTAGAGCCCCCACATAGGCCCGGTTTCCCGGCGCAGTGCCACCGCTGCCAACTTTATGGTCACGCGGCGGCCAACTGCTCCGCCCCACCCAGGTGCGTTAAGTGCCTAGAACCACATAACACGAAAGAGTGTCCCCGGCCCAAAGACGCCGAATCCCCGCCCGCTTGTGTCCTGTGCAACCAGACAGGACACCCGGCTAACTACAAGGGTTGCCCACGCGCACCTCAACCTCGCCCCAGTAGGCAAGCTCCACCACCGGTGAATGACCGCTCATTCCCGGCCCTCCAACAACGGCCCCGTCAGGGCCTTTCTCAGCCCATCCAGGGCTTCCCTCGACCCTCTCAGGGTCCCCCTAGGCCCCCCTCAGGGCATAATTCGGCCCCCCTCCGGGCTTCACCAAGCCAATGCAGCCTCCAGTCTTTCCCTGGGGGCCCAAAAAGGCAGACCCACCGCGGACAACCTCGTACGCACACGAAGCAGAGCCCACACTTGACGACTACAACATGCTATATTCCGCTATTAGGAATATCGATGTTAGGGAAATAACCGTTGTATCACGCAAACTGCGCGCGGCGAAGTCCCCTCAAGAACGCCTTCTCGTTCTTGCAGAACACAATAACCTTCTGTTAGCGTTGTAAGTTAAGTTAACTTAATTAACTTAACTTCAATGACTGAGCAAATTAACCTACCAAGATCTCACGGTCGTATCAAACCTAAGGGTTTATCGCTTGTATCATTTAATATTCGCGGCTTGCGAAATAACCTCCCAGAGCTCAAGCTCTTTCTTCGGAATCGTGAAGTCGATTTCCTCCTCCTACAGGAAACTAATCTCAAAGCTAAGGACACTAGAGGCCTTTCTATTAAAAACTTCTCTCTTCTTCGTAACGACAGACCCGACCGCCGAGGCGGCGGAACGGCCATCTATTACAAGAAGACACTGCATTGCTCGCCCATTTCTACTCCGCAGCTTACCAACATGGAAGCCACGGTATGCAGGCTAGCTATGACTGGACATCAGTCCATCCTCATAGCCTCCTGTTACATCCCTTCAGGAACCTATCCCCTCAAAAAAGATTTTGAGGCCATTTTATCTTTAGGCAATTCAGTCATTATGTTTGGAGATTTTAACTCCAAGCATACTGAATGGACATGCCGCACTACGTCCCCTAGTGGCAAGATACTGCTCGATATCACGCAGTCTCTTGATATTACCGTCCATAGTCCTCTCGGTGTTACTCACTTTCCCGATAACACCGATCACGCCCCCGATGTGTTAGATTTTGCGTTACTCCAAGGAGTTTCTCTCAACCTCAGAGCAATCGAGACACTAGACGATCTAGGATCAGATCACCGA